CAACTAACAAAGTGGTGAGATGAGTTGCTAGTAAAGGAACTGTTAAGCGGTAAACAAATGTTGCCTGAAAACCAAAACGCTGGCTTAATGTTGTGTGAGGAGGAGGTGCCTAAAATATTTTGCAGTAACGCCCCACAATATCTCTCTTATTCGTCAACAGAAGTATAATCTGCGTATAAAATGAATCTACCTTCAGAAGATCAGTACTCCAGGTCAGTTAAGTATAGTCTGAATAGCACGGGTCCTAGAATAGAGCCCTGAGGGACGCCTAATAGGTGCCACTATCGACGATACAAATTGAAACCTATTATCTAAAAAAGACTTTATATGGTGAACCATACTTTGATATTTTCTTCAGATTGTGGCAGACCAATGCACTGCTGAAGTCACAAAAGATCCCAACAGGGCCTCATTCATTTTAAGAAGAGTTCCGTAGAAGCAGTGAATTGCTGTTTCCGTAGATTTTCCGTTTCGTGTAGATTCTCTGTCCAAATATTTTTTTTTATTAATCCAAGAACAATGTTACTGCAAACCTTTCTTCTACTACCATTTGAATTACTGTTTCAGTAGAATATTTTTTCTAAATCCGCATATTTGTATATAACTCAGAATTTTGAACTTTTGGAACAGAACTAATTAAACCTAATAAAATTTTAAATTCGCCATACACTAAGTGATTCACGAACAGTAACAACTTCTCTCCAATAATGTTGAAACATTCTTCTTTTTTGAAAGTTTGAATAAGACTCCATATAAGGAATGTAACAATATATCTGAATTTTTAAAAAATCACAAATCACGCGACATGCCATCCGTACGTAGTATTTTAGCGATGACAGTTGAGAGTTGAAACACTGTTCGAATTACACCATCATAGCTGGAACAGACCTTACTGTTTCTATCTCTGACGTACGCTACGTTAGAGGAGGATCATTTCGATCATTTTCCTTAGCTGCTTTCTGCATTCTGTGCATATGCATCATCATGCGTATTCTACATAGTGTCGAGTTCTGTGGTTTTTTTAGGAGCACCTGTCAGAAAACAACAGGCTCGGGTCAGATCAGATATTGTCCATGTGCAAAGCCAAACATAAATCACAAACTTATTTTATACCAGATCAATTCAAAACTTCAGAACTTTGTTTCGATATACATTTGCCAGCCTAAACCAAAAACAACGCATTTCAATATGTCAGTATTTTGTATGGATCTTTTAAAACCAACTTATTGATAAAAACTACAAGAGTATGCTCAAAAAAAGACGATGTCCGAAAGTAGAGAAAAATTAAAACTACCAATACAGGGTGTCCGCAATGTTGGGGTTTTCCTTTACACGACGTGTAGATCTTGAAAACATAAGCAATTTTTCTTAGTACCATATACACCAATGTCTTAAGGTAACCGAGATAAAGGGCTCTGCAACATCAAAAATATCTGAATACCGTCCTGTAGTCGCGACATCCCCGACTGGTACTAGGACACTAGCTCAACCCGACGACAGAACTGGGTCGGGATCAGTGTGTCAGGTCAGTATGCAACCTTCAACCGAGGGTTACGGTCACGCGTCTAGAGGTAATCGCGTAGACGAGAATCCCTCAACAAGCACTAGAGACGTGGCTAGAGAAGTGCAAGTATCAAAAACTAAAGTGTGACAAACCCTGCGTGAAGAGGGGCTGTATCCGTTTCACGTCCAACGTGTACAAGCCCTTCAACCTGACGATTTTCCAGCAAGAGTGGGTTTTGTGAGTGGTTGTTGCATCAACATGATAATAATCCGGACTTTTTGAAGTGCATATTGGTGACAGACGAATCTACGTTCACGCGTAATGCGGTGAATAACTTTCGCAACACTCATGTTTGGTCAGTAGAAAATCCGCACGCTGTCCGTCGGGCACATTTTCAACAAACATTTTCGGTGAATGTTTGGGCTGGCATGGTGAACGGTATGCTCATTGGACCATTTATTCTCCCAAATCGATTGGACGGGATGCAATACCTAGACTTTTTACGCAACATTTTGTCTTCCTTGTTTGCCTGCGTCTGCTCGGTAGCGCATCAGCTGATTTCATTTTCTGTTGGAGCGGTATAATTTCGGGCAGAGACGTACTTAGCCCTTCTCGTCAACTGGAGAGTGAGTACTTTTTCCTTTATTTTTTTTTTACTTGGTCGCCCTCGTTTCACTACACATTACCTTTGTTATTTCAAGGGTAGTTGTTTTTGAAAAGGAAAACCCCAACTTTGCGGACACCCTGTATATAGGGCATTCTCGGAAGTTGGGACTTTATACATAGTATAGTTCTTGTAAAAAAATGCTGCTGGGCTAAATTCAGTCTTGCCTTCCTAGCTAATCATTAGCTAAAATTATAGGATGCCCTATTCAAAAATTAAAGGTATCAAGAAAAAAATCAATTTTTCGGTGATCTTTGACAAGTTGTATTTTGGTGAAACAATATGGTCGTATCTAGAGTTAAAAAAAACATTTTCAAGCTGTAAGACTCCAGTTTTCAGGCCTCCTAGCAGAAACATTTTAGACGCAGTGGTTCTCATTCAATTCTAACAGGTAGTGCAAGAATTTTTTTTCAAAACGTTTGCCTTCTTTTTAGTCACGGGCTTGAAAAAGATGTTTTCTGCGATACCATCATATGGATCAGATAACACGTTTATTCAGCTTCCAATATCCTGTTTTTAAAATTTTGATACGGCGATTTGGCGCGGAGTTATCTGACTCAGCTTTTTCGGAAGCCTCAGGAATTTCAACCGCTTGTTCCCGGATGGTGATTCGCCGAACTTCAACCAAGATTTGCTTCGTTACAACTTTCTCGGAGATCGACGGCCTCCTGCTTCGTTATTCATCGTGCGACTGTCAGAACACTTCCTTCACCATTTGGCAACATGGTGAACGCTTATACACATACTTCACTCAAGTGGTGATCAATTTCTATACGTGGTAACTTTTTTGCGTGCAAAAATCGTATGACCACACGAATTGAGCATCACAAATAGGCACTTCTTATTGGGATCGGTGGTGGGGAGTCTACAAACACGACGGTGTTGCCAGATTTCGCTTAGCATCATGCGGTAGGAACCTTACTTTTGAGACAACCCTCGTATCTCGGTAACCGGTTGCCACGCAGAGAATTTAAGGGTATTTCCGAAAACTGGGATAAAACTCCTATAAGGTTTGATTGCAATCTTTTAGGATTTTTTTTTTGTTTCCTTTCCTTCCAAGTGTTAATTTTAAATAAGTAAAAAAATGTTACTATCTGTCTTGTTTTGGAAAATCGACCGCGTTTTTGGGATTAAGAAGAAAGCTAATGTTTTAAGGTTTTTTTATATCTCCTTGCACGACTGTAGACCGATCCATTGTACGTTTTCTCCGTACCGAAAAATTCTTAAAACCGCCTAGATCCGCGTACTTTGGTTTTTTGGAATATTCCATGGATAAAACAATTGAATTTTTCCACTTGCCTCTTTAAATTGAAGGTGTTACAGATATCCAATAGTGACAACAAAAGAAAACCTTCCCATAACAACTAAAAACCATAAAACTCGACCTCATTCGTTATTCGTTCAAATTCAGAGCAATGCAAAAGCAAAAGGAATTCAAAAAGTTACATTTATTCAGTCTCGGCTGTCAAAATTCACGTGCTTGTCTATCTGTATGCATTCAAATATTTAGTATTTAAAGCAACCATAATTGTACCGAATCACATTTTGAAATACGTGTTTGTGGTAAACATACCATCACTTAAGGCCGTATCGTCAGTTGTTCCTACAAGTGTAGGACGCTTTTATGGCATTCTTGATTTTCATAGTATTTCCTCACGTTTAGAAAGGCTGCGATATTTCTTAATTTCTGCTATACCCTTTCAGCGTCAGCGTTCTATAGGGTTGTCCAATAGGGACGCAGGAAAGTAAACGTCAATTTGACATAGACGCCATCTTTGTTTTCTGTCACCGACATGTCATTTTGTTAGTTGAATGTTTACCATTGATCGCTATGGAATCGTATTCGATTGAAGACCGCATTAAAGTTATTCAAGAGCACTACAAAAATGGTGCAAAAATAAAAAACACGTTTCGCGCGCTTCGTGAACATTTCGGTCGCAACAACCGCCCAAACGAAACAACCATCGGTCGTCTGGTGCGTAAATTCGAGGCAACAGGTTCTGTGGCAAATCTGCCACGCTCTGGCCGGCCAAGGAGCGTTCGCACACCGGAAAATATTGCTGTTGTGAAGGAGAGTGTGAGAGACGATCCGAAACAATCAACAACGCGTCGAAGGATTTGAATGTACCCGCCTACAAGATCCAATTGACGCAAGAGCTGCGTCGGGCCGACCATTTTTCGCGCCGAACGTTCTCAGATTCGCTCCTTGAACACCGTCAAATTGATGCCAATTTTTCATCAAAAATCATGTTCAGCGACGAAGCGCATTTCACTTTGAATGGGACGGTAAACAAGCAAAACTGCCGCATCTGGGCGAACGAAAATCCCCATGAGTATCAAGAGCATCAAAAAGTGACTGTGTGTGGTGTGCATTGTGGTCAAAAGGCACCATCGGACCTTACTTTTTCGAAAATGCGGCCGGGGACGCCGTTATCGTCAATTCTGAGCGATATCACGTGATGATAGAGGACTATTTTTTGCCGCAACTTGAAGGAATGGATATGGACGATGTTTATTTCCAACATGCCACACAACCAACGGCAACGTCAATATCCATCGATTGCAGTCCTTCGGTGATCGCGTGATTTCGCGCACAGGAAATGTGCCATGGCCACCAAGATCGTGCGATTTGACTCCCTTGGACTTCTTTTTACGGGGATATTTGAAAAGCAAAGTCTACGTCAACAAACCAGCCACCCTCCAAGAACTCAAAAACAACATCATTGCCGAGATAAATGCCATAGAACGGACCATGTTGCAAAATGTCATTGAAAATTTCGACCATCGCGTGGACGTCTGTAAATCCAGCCGTGGTGAACATTTGAGCGATATTATTTTTCATACATAAATGGTATAAATGAACCTTCAAAATAAAGTACCCAACTTGATTTGAATATCAATCTTTCTTGTTTTAATATGCGTTTACTTTACTGCGTCCCTTTTGGACAACCCCATATTATCAATGTTTTCTTTTTGAATTGTAGAAAATTTCAGGCTATATAACAGATGATATAAATCAAAAATATGAACAATTTGATGTAAATAGATATATGTAATATAACCTCAAAATAGAGCGCTGACACGGAAGAGTAGAACACTATGAGAACCAAGGGAGCCACGACTGACGATACGGCCCTTAAAGATTTTTTGGAAACAGTCTCTCCAAATAGTTTTACTAATGAAGATACCTAATTATCAATGGTGAGTGCAGAAGCAAAATGCTGTTACTTTGTTGAAAATTTTATAGCATCATACATGGCGAGTTTTACTGATCTGAGTCTAGCTGAAAAATGTTGAATTTCGGCTACAAAACCGATCTACCTGAATTTATTCAAACATGCAGTTCGCTGAAACAATGTTGCCATTTTAATTTAATTTGTACGTTTATACTACTAAAAATGCGCGATGCAACAGACTAGCTTTTGCTTCATTTTTACCGGTTTTTCTATCCAATTCAAATGTTTATTTATATTTTACGGTCAAAAAAGGGAACAGAGTTGGAATCTGTTAGCAATATTTGTATGAAAAATAATAATTTCATGCATTTTTCATTAATAGAAAATAGATTAAGCATTTTTTTCTTGACATGACCCATTTTCTTGAGTTTCACCAAATGTTTCCTCCCTCACAATTTCCCCCAACAATTTTGCTACATTTCTGTTATTATAATAAACGTTCTTTTTGTTCCAATTTAAAGTTCTATATCTCTCGAAAGCTAATCATTAAAATTAAACATAGCTCATATCAGCTTGACAAAAATCGCCTTGTATGCTCCAGGCAGATATGCCAGAGGCAATGGTAATATCTGTACATGCACAATCCTCTCGATTAGTTTGACCTCACCAAGCAATACAACACCTCGAAAACCAAAAATAAACAACGTTTTTAAAAACTCCTGCTTTATTCAATATACAAATATAACTGCTGTACAACATGGATTCAGTCAATAAAACAGTATAAGTAATCAACTCCACACAATAACTTACACAACAATATCAATATGGACAAGCAAAAAGAAAAAATATATCGCCAATACATTACCTATACTATTTTATTTTACTGGCTGGGAGAGATAGCATATACGTGTTGACGGAAGGGAACAATCAAGATAAAATTACGGTTTTGCTGAGTTTTTGTGTGTATGTTGTGCCATCCCCGTAACGTCAAAATAAGGGAGTATCAGTAATGAACAATCATATTGTCAACGTTTATTATGGCAAACTGGAAATGAGGTCGGCTGTCAATCTATATCGCATATATAACTTGGACTTACTGTTTCTGCCTGATCCGGACATAGGTTTTTGTAGATCTTATCGATTAGTGCGCGCCTAAAGAAAACAAAAAAAATATTAGTATCCTGTCATTTGTGTCGGCTAGAGAGAAGTAATGCCAGGTTTATATTTTAATATCCTCATTTGCGCATTCTAGAAAAAATGTTCATCATAAAGTTGTAGGGTTTTGATGGGGAAAAATGATGGTGACCTTTACTACTCCTCATAAGGTCATTTCAAGGTCAAATGAATATTTTTACATCGGAATTGGACATGATTGACCATTACTTTCAAGGTCATTTCAAGACAATTGCTCTCGCAAAAATGTTCGATAGCACAGTTGTGAGGTACATGGGGATCAATCAAGATGACCTTGACATGACGCTCACGGTTAAATCAGAATTTCCTGAGCGAATCTCTCATTTTTACACTGGAAATGGGAAGAGCAGGAAATTTCACATCCTTGTCCTCAACAACAACAATATTGTGTCAAGCTTAAGGGTCAAATCGTCAGTCGTTCCTAGAACACTGGACAACAAATTTTAGTTTTTTAATTGTATCTTGTGGGAAAAGTGCACTTCTTTGTTAATTTTGGGGCGCTGAATCCAAAAATGACAATGAAATAAAAAAATTAGTTGCGGTTTAGAAAAAAACTTTTTATTTTTAAGGATATATTAAAAAAAGTAACAAAATTCATATACTTATAAGAATCACTATATGCGCTGTCTTTTTGCTGTTCTTTTATGGATCGTTTCTGGAGCATCTCTACCAAGAGTCCAACAGTAGTCTGCAAGCATGGAAGGATTCCACTTTCCCTGGTACCTTTTTCCATTGTTGAAATATCCTGATGAAAACGTTCGCCGTGCTCATCACTTACGGCTCCGCAATTGTCAGGAAAAAAGTCCAGGTGTGAGTGTAGGAAATTTATCTTAAGAGACATATTACAGCCCATCTTTTGATACGATGACAGCATATTTTTGACAAGGGTCTTATAGTTGTCAGCTTTTCTATTTCCCAAGAAATTAGTGACCACCAGACGGAAATCATTCCATTTTCAATACCTGTTAAAGTGTTTTCAAACTGTGTATCTTTCAAAATATTTCGAATCTGTGGCCCAACAAAAATACCTTCTTTAACCTTTGCCTCATTTAGTGTTGTAAATTTCTGACGCAGGTATTGAAAAGCTGACCCATCTCTATCTAATGCCTTGACAAAGTTTTTCATTAAGCTCAACTTGATATGCAGTGGTGGTAATAAAATTTTTTTCGAATCTACTAATGGCATATGCTGTACATTTTTTTGACCTGGCTCTAGGAATTGACGAACAGGCCAGTTTTGTCTGGTGTAATGAAGTGCCTTTGCCAGACTGTCCCATTCACACAAAAAACAGCAAAACTTTGTGTAGCCTAGCTGCAGCCCAAGTAAAAGTGCAGCAACTTTCAAATCGCCACAAATATGCCATTGGTGCTCATCGTATTTTATGCAGGTAAATAGGTACTTCATATTGTCATATGATTCTTTCATGTGAACTGCATACCCTACAGGAAGAGATGGTAAAATATTTCCAATATGCAATAACACTGCCTTTAAACTCAATGTTGAACTGTCTATAAACAATCTCCATTCTTCTGGGTTATAGTTTATATTTAAAGCCGCCAGTAAGCCGTTAATGTTACTGCAGAAAACCAAGTTATTCTCCATATTGAAAAATTGTTCTAAGTCTTTGTGGCGTTTACGAAAAACACATACCGAAACATCGTCTTCTAACAAGTTCCACTGCTGCAGTCTTGATCCAAGTAACTCTGCCTTACATTTTGGAAGTTCTAAATCTCTTACAAGATCATTTAATTCTGACTGTGTTATTTTGTGCGGTTGGTGGCATGACGTGCTCGGTATAAAATCAGGATCTCTTGACGTTGATGGCATATCTTCTTCCTGACGAATCACTCGATCGCCATGATCTGATTCGTTTTCTGATTCGCAAGTGTAGGATTCTGGGGGTTTTGGAATAGGATTTTCGTCACTGTGAGGCACAGGTCTCATCGCAGATGGTATGTTTGGGTAGTTAATAACCGATTTTTTTTTTCTTGGACATACCTGTGGCTTGTCCAACACAAGGTACCATGCAAAAGTAACAATCATTAATATGATTTGTAGGCTCTCTCCAAACCATTGGGACAGCAAAGCGCATAGACCGTTTTTTGCCATTTAACCAGCTCCTCAGACTTGAAGCACACGTATTACAGCAGATGTGGGGTGCCCACTGTTTGTCTTGATCACCTAGTTTACAACCGAAATAAAGCTGATATGCCTTTGTTATTAGTGGAGTAATAGACCATCTCTGAGACGCAAAAGTCACATCACCACAGACGTAACAAAACTGATCTGGATTGTTTACACACTTTCGAGAAATCTTGCATGAACGCTGTCAGCCAACTGAGGAAAAAATGGCTAATATAAAACAATATAATGTACACGTATGTATAACGTAACACAATCATGCCGATTACATCATCTTTCCTTGCCGAATATAAAAATGTAGCACGTGCATTCTTGTGAATTACAGTATATTAACACTGTCACAGCAGGAACACATATAATTACCGTATCTCTAAAACTTGAACTAATATTGAAAAAATAAGTTTCATTCCGGTTTTAGCACATTAAAAATAGTAATATTTTGTTGATTTTATTTAGGATATTTTTTGGCTGTTGATCAGTGGAATTATTGTAGGACGCCCTTAAGGCCTTCTTGATTTTCATAGTTTTCTGCTGTTCCGTGTCAGCGCCCAATTTTGAGGTTATGTTACAAATATTCCTTTTTATTTATATCATCTGTTATATCAGCCTGAAATTTCCTGCAATTCAAAAAGAAAACATAGCCTCTTCACAATAGGAGAGGGCTGATGCTGATACGGAACAGTAGAAATCTAGAAAGGAGAGACAATACTAGGAAAATTAAGGACGCCTTCAATAAATTGTAGGTAGGACTGACGATAGGGCGCTTACACAATAAAACATATTAATCTATCTAGAGTCTTGATTTGACCTTCAAATGACCTTGAAGGACAAGTTATTGCCAAAGTGTATTTTTCATCAGCTTTTCAGTAGGACGAAGTGATTATACAGGGTGTTCGAAAAACAAACGGAGATATTTTAGAGGGTGATTCCTTGTTAAAAGAATATGAAAATTGGTTTATTAATTTTTGGTAACAAAACAGTGTCTTTGAAAACAATTATAATTTGCTTCGTAATACAATAAATAATATTTCCAAATTTCAACACAACCGAGTAAATATCTTTTAAGATATACTAAGTGACATATAAATCCGAACAACCAGTTTAAACGGTTTTATTTTAATAAAATTTTGTATAAGTACTTAATGAAGCATAATAAGTAAATGATAATTATTTCAAAATGATTGCACTGCTTTAAAGCCCTTTGACCTTTAATAATGTGTGGATGCACCCTGATGTGCTACGCATTCTCCAACGCGCCTAGGCATGCTTCTGATCAGGTGGTCAATGTCCTCCTGTGGTATCTCATTCCAGGTAACCACCAACTCCTCTCGAAGTGCTTCTAGAGTCTGAGGAGGACGTTGCAAATTGAGCAATCTCCTACCCATCATATCCCACACGTGCTCAATTGGGGATAAGTCGCGAGATCTTGGTGGCCATGGTAACAATGTGACATCATTATGTTGAAAGAAGTCTATTGTGACTCTTGCAACATGTGGTCGGGCATTATCTTGTTGGAAAGTTGGATCTGCCAGGGTGTCAAGATAGGGTAAAAGATGGGGTTCTAGAACTTCGTGGATATAACGCTGCGCGTTCATGTTACCTCTGATGAAGATTAAAGGTGACCTGGAACCATAAGCTATAACACCTCAAACCATAACTCCAACAGTGTGATGAACATGTCTTTCAACAAAAAACTGTGGATTCCTCCTTTCACCACGTCGCCTTCTAACCCTGGCACGACCATCGTGCATGCCTAAACAAAATCGAGACTCTTCACTAAAGACAATACTGTTCCATTCCTGATCCCAGAGTGACCGTTGTCTGCACCACTCAAGGCGATTACGTCGGTGTTCTCGAGTTAAAGGGAGGACCCAGTGTGGCCGGTATGAAAACAAGCCAAAACTTCTCATTCGTCGGTAAACACTTCGCATGCCAATAGGTCTGCCGTGTTCTGCAAACCATTCATTTGCAATGGTCCTGGTAGTGGAGAAACGGTGCCTTAAGGCCAATAATATTAGGCGGCGATCTTCACGGTCTGTTGTTCTACGGCGGCGTCCAGTGCCCCTTGCTCTTTGCGTACGGCCTTCTCGAAGCCATGCCTGACAACACCTAACCACAGTGTCTACACTTCTTTGCACTCTAACTGCAATTGCCCGAAAAGAAAGTCCAGCTTCCCGAAGTCCCACTATACGGCCCCTATCAAACTCACTAAGTTGACGAAATCGTACAGGTCTCCGTACTCTAGGCATCGTAACCGATCGTAAAGGATGTCAAGAACCAAAATCCGCCAACGTTGATTCTTTATTGCGGCTGAAATATTCATTTTTAGAGCGTTAGTGAATTAAAAAAAAGCAGTATAAAAACCGGAATGTCCAACTGATAAGGCTGAAAATTTTTTCACTTGTTATTTACAGTAAGATAAATACATTCACCAACTTTTATTAAAATAAAATCATTTAAACTGGGTGTTCGGATTTATATGTCACTTAGTATATGTTTTAAGATATTAATAAAAAAAAATATTTTAAATTTATCACCCTGTATCTTGAAAACTGCATTTCCGGACCCATATTAATTGAAACTTTTTTCATATTTGTTAACAAGGAATCACCCTCTAAAATATCTTCGTCTATTTTTTGAACACCCTGTATAACATAACTTGAATTCATAACTATTCAAGTATCTGCGAACATGTGGTTTTTCCTCCAAGTTTGACGTTTGATAAAAAAGTAAGCATCTCTCGGTGAAGGAACTTTCCGTTATACCCTCAAAAGCTTATTACATTTTTTTGGCTCAAATTCTAGATATCCAGGTCTACTATCAGAGTAGATAAAAAATGCTGTAAAATTATACTTACTTTGATGCAAGTCCCGCCGGTGGTAATCCTTGTATATCTGAAGACAGCAGTATTTGCAAGACATTTCCAAACTCCTTATCTTCGAAACTTACAATGTCTGGAAAAAGAAAAGTTGTTTTAACACCCTTTTAATGAGGTTTTAATCGGATTATTAGTAAAACGAAAAATTTTTATAGACATAATAATGCTTCGTTTTCAAGATATAGGGTGTCAAACATATTTTTGAAGTTCTAAATAACTATTCAGATCATTCCCTTGAAAGGAGAAATGTCCAAAATAGATACCAATCAATAGATGATTTTTCCTTCTCACATGCCGCTTGGTCTTTGATGAACTGGACATTGTTACATCAAAAAATAAAAGATACAAATTTTACGCATAATGCACTTTTCACGTACAGTATGCTCTGAATAATTATTCATTTTACAATGGAAGGCTTTTTAAAACATGTAATTTATTTAAAGTTCAAAATCTTGCTCTAGAAGACCTTGGAGGGTATTTTGAGATTAGATCAATTTAGAGCTACTTCAAGCTAGCTTTTTTTCAGACCAAAATTTGGTTTTGGCAGACTGTACCTGACACCGGGAAAACTAATACATTCTACAACATTTATCTCTTTTTTATTTGAAAATACTTACACAACGGTACATAATTTACTGATCTGGGTACCAAATGTCGCATTTCCTTTGTTTCCCCTCAATAGGCGTGCAACTCCACAGTAAAAGGTATACCCCTTATTAAAAATATACATATATTTACCAAAAATGCGCGATTCAAGTTCTTCATCCAGTCTCTTTTCGGCTTGAATGGCTTCCATAGTTGGTTTTGGAGCACCAGGGAAAACCACAAGTACAATGCTCATGTTATCTCGACTTCCCTGTAATATAAGCATTCATACATTAAAAAACGCCATGTATCTAGGCAAGCATTTGAATATTCAAACCAATTTTCTTTTATTACACCTAAAAATAATCATCCAATGAATCCAGATATATTTGAAATGCTTCTTCAATGTACGGTCCCGAATTGTTACCTTCCTCAGTATATTTTAATTATGTCTTCCAGGTAACACTGCGTTTTTGCAGCAATTCATAATTTGATTTATATCGTTTGATTTAAACCGCAACCTTGACCCTATTTCACGAGTATCCGTCACGTTTTGACGTCTACTGAGTTGAACAGGTGATCAGCAATTATCTGTAACGTTGTCAATAATTAATCGGGTATAAATCTAGTAAAATTTGCTTCTTGCGTTTTTTACTATGCAAATGAACTAGCAAGGTCAAAATGAATCTACAGCGTACAAAAAACAACAAAATATGCCTTTGTCTGCCTGGCGTTGACGGATCCGTCAGAATTATGTCATTCTTCGATATGGGGCATCTTAAAATATTACTAAATAGTGAGTTGTTATTCTACCGTACTGGATACTCCTGAAAAAGACAATATGTTACAACAAAAGACAGGGGTCGGCTTGCAATGTCACTGCGACCCAAATGGATGTTTTGTGACCCCAAGCACACTTTCTAAAGCACTGTGTCCAGCCTTGATCCTTTAATCAGACTCCAAAACCCTGACAAAGGGGCTTGCATGTAGCTACCGCATATCTGTCTACACCTTCCTAGGGAATATGTTAATCGATGACGAAGCAAACAACGTGAGCACCTACCTTGTACAGACAGGTATCGATCACCTGAGCGGTGACCTCCTTTAGGCTGTCGGTAACGGTTAAACGGTTCCTGATGTAAGCGCACAGCTCCTCGTTGGTCATCACGTCCCAGATGCCGTCACAGGCCAAGACCAGGAACTCGTCGCCTTCCTCGTCGCGCTCTCGAACGAAGATCTCTGGCTCTGGAGACACCAGCTGCTCGCACGGGCCGCGGCCCTCCACGTTCTTGTACTCGAAGTCGCCCAGAGCGCGACTCACGGCCAGGCTGCCGTTTACCTGACGGATTAATGAAAAGAATAAAACACATCATCTTATTACCATTAAGTAACCTCGCTAATTCAGGGTGCGGCAGAGAGGACGGACGTTTTTGGGTTGGGTAGTACCCTCCGCCTCCGTCTACGAGAGAGGTGGGGAGCCTTGGACGGTGGACGCGTTTTCGTCTATGATTGTTTCGTCCGAAATAATGAGTCAGTCATCGTCGTATAGCGTGAGATTCGTCGCCACTTCAACATTCATCGGAATAGAGCTGTTCCCTCTCGAAACACCATCCTTCGTGTGGTTGAATCACTTCGCAAGCGTGGTGAACTGATCAACAGAAGACCAAGAGGAGCGCCGCGAACAGTAAGAAACTCCTGAAAATGTTGAACGCGTTCGACAGGTCTTTCTTCGCAGTCCGACTCGATCTGCCCGGAAACATGATGCTGCACTTCGCCTTAGTGATCGTTCGGTAAGGCGAATTTTGCATATGGATCTCCGCTTTCACCCCTACAAATTGGCCATTGTGCAACAGTTACAGCCCGGAGATTATGCACAACGAATGAACTTCGCACGTGAGATGGAAGCACTAATCGATCAAAATGAGAACCGACATGTCGGGCCGGTACTGAGCATCGCAAATAGGCGCTTCTTGTTGGGGTCGGTGGTGGGGGAGCAGCACGACGGTGTTGCCAGGTGCCGCCTAGCATCACGCACGGCAAAGATACAGCGCTGGGAACCTTATTTTTGAGACAACCATCGTATGTGCTTAACAATTACGTTTCCAGATTATCACAAGCTAGCTCTAGTGAAACAAGTTTTCAAAAACGACATTCACAGAAAATTACAGACCGATAGCTCTTTTACCAATTATCGCTAGAATATTGAAAAAATGTATGGCCATACAAATCTTAGAATTATTTGAGACAAACGGATTCATTTCTGAAAAGCAGTATGGTTTAAGAGCAAACAGAAAAACGACTGACGCAATCCTTGATCTGCTGTCAGGTGTGACAGAGGCCACACAAATCTTAGAATTCTTCGAGACTAATTTCTCGTGTATTTAATATCCTTTATCTTATTTTGTTGTAATTTAGTGGTAGTATTTATAATATTAAGGAACTAATTTAGCCCTGATATATTAATATTAAGACCAGTAGCGTCTGGAGCGAGAGCTGAACGAATATTTGTGACAAAAAAATATATGCCATTGACCTTTGTGCAATATTTTTACTTTCTTTGGATTAAGCAACTTTCTTGCCTCTTGAATTTTTTTTTGTATCTTGCTTGCTCTTCGATTAAAAAAAAGTCCACTTAATTGCATATCCTGGACCACACAAGGAACACGAGTATGGAGAAAAGTTTCTTTTGGAAATGACATTTTTATAATCTTCTATTGCTAATTATGCAACAACAAATGAACACTAAATTAAATTACATTACATTAACATGTATTTACTATGTAATGGGTGTTTTTTTGCTAGTATCTTTTTGGCAACACCGTTCTTGACAGATGACGCGTGTCTTGTGTCATTGTCAAAGTTGTTCAGTTTGGTCTATAATTTAACCATGAATCGACTTACGAACGAACAACGCTTGCAAATTATTGAATTTTACTATCAAAATTCATGCTCGGTTAAGAGGGTGCATCGAGCACTGCTTCCAATTTATGGGCAATTTGGTCGGCCTACTGAGGGAGCTATTCGGAAGCTTGTGACTAAATTTCGAACCCAGTTTACATTATTGGACATTAAACCACCAACACGCAGACGTACAGTGAGGACTGATGAAAATATTGCGGCTGTATCCGCCAGTGTTAGTGATGACCGTGAAATGTCGATTCGCCGCCGTTCGCAGCATTTGGGCCTCTGTTACTCCACTACGTGGAAAATTTTGCGACAGGATTTCGGTGTAAAACCTTATAAGATACAGCTGGTGCAAGAATTGAAGCCACACGACCTCCCACAACGTTTCCAATTTGGTGAATGGGCGCTGGCAAAGTTGGAGGAAGATCCACATTTTTATCGAAAATTTGTGTTCAGCGACGAAGTTCATTTCTGGTTGAAAGGGTACGTTATCAAGCAAAAATGCCGCATCTGGAGTAAAGACCAGCCAGAAGCATTGCAAGAGCTACCAATGCATCCCGAAAAAATCACTGTTTGGTGTGGATTATGGGCCGGTGGCATCATCGGGCCGTACTTCTTCAAAGACGACAATGGCCGGAACGTAACTGTGAATGGCGAGAGCTACCGTGCGATGATAACAAACTTTTTTTGCCCAAAATGGAAGAGCTGGACTTGGCTGACATGTGGTTTCAACAAGATGGTGCCACATGCCACACCGCACACGAAACAATGGCCCTATTGAGAGGCGAGTTCGGTGAACAGTTTATCTCACGTTTGGGGCCCGTCAATTGGCCGCCTAGATCGTGTGATTTAACGCCGTTGGACTATTTCTTGTGGAGCCATGTTAAGGCTAATGTCTACAGGGATAAACCAGCAACGATTGACGCACTGGAAGCCAATATTGAAGCATTTATTCGTGAGATACCGGCCGATATGTTGGAGAGAGTGTGCCAAAATTGGACCTTGCGCATGGGCCATCTAAAGCGGAGCCGCAGCCAACATTTACATGAAATAATCTTTAAACATTAAATTATATCCACCGTTCTATCGACTCAAATAAAGATTTAATCGTTTTTTCAAATTTTTTGTGTTTTTTTTTTAAATGAAATAATAATAATAATAATTAACGTCTTTTATTTGTAATATTCTTACAGGAGGCGAGATTTAGATTATATATCTATTCTACCATCTAACCCCCAATATATATATAAATCCTATACCTCTTAAAAAATCACCCATGATTGTACTACTTTTATTATTTATTTTATTACTTATAGTACAAAAGAAACTTTTCCCATATTCCATCAATAGACGAAAAAGTTGTATTTCTATTTGCTTAGTCCAAAGAAGAAAAAAATGCACAAAAGCCAGTGGCGTATATTCTTTGTCACAAATATTCGTTCTGATCCCGCTCGGGACGCCAATGGACTTAATAAGTTTAATCAAGTTAAGGCTAAATTAGGTCTTTTATGCTATTAATACCACCGTGAAATTACAACAAAATTAAATAAAGGATATTTAAGATATTTACAAAAAAAAACATTTTTTTTTTAAATTTCAACACCCTGTATCTTGAGAACGAAGAATTTGCGGAGCTATGTTTATATGAGCTTTTTGTCTTAAAATTGTTCAAACAATCGCCTGTTAAGTTTATGGTACACACTTAATTAACACCTTGTATATTGGCGACTGAGGTGTCAAGATGTTCGTATTAGAAATGTTTTGATCCAAAATGCTTTTTACTACGAAGTTGATTTTCTAAATACTGATTTTAACGAGTTGTGATGGTTCAGAACTGTATGAAATAATTAGAATTGGGATTAGCAAAAGTTATGAGATTCACTCAAAAGGTCCAAGAATGTGAAATATCGCAACTCATGGCGGGTACAACCGACCTAATGGTGGGGATAATGGAACAAATGAGAGACAAAAGAAATAAAAATTCCTGGTTGGTGAAGTACCTTACAACCAACAGCTGAGAAAATCTGCCACATATATAGGAATACTTAGGAAAAGTGAAAAAGTTGATACGTTTTACATTATTCTTTATTTCCAATCACAATAGCGGAATCAACTATTTTCACTCTAGGAACTATCTAATCAGCAAGCTGACATTTTGTCGTTTTTTTACATATACGTTTTTTACTACCCCCCTACCGCACGGGTATTATAAAGGGTTGTCCAATAGGGACGCAGGAAAGTAAACGTCAATTTCACATAGACGCCATCTTTGTTTTCTGTCACCGACATGTCATTTTGTTAGTTGAATGTTTACCATTGATCGCTATGGAGTCGTATTCGATTGAAGACCGCATTAAAGTTATTCAAGAGCACTACAAAAATGGTGCAAAAATAAAAAACACGTTTCGCGCGCTTCGTGAACATTTCGGTCGCAACAACCGCCCAAACGAAACAACCATCGGTCGTCTGGTGCGTAAATTCGAGGCAACAGGTTCTGTGGCAAATCTGCCAGGCTCTGGCCAGCCCAGGAGCGTTCGCACACCGGAAAATATTGCTGTTGTGAAGGAGAGTGTGAGAGACGATCCGAAACAATCAACAACGCGTCGATCTCAAGAATTGGGCATTTCGAGAACCAGTTTGCTCCGCATTCTCCACAAGGATTTGAATGTACACGCCGACAAGATCCAATTGACGCAAGAGCTGCGTCGGGCCGACCATTTTTCGCGCCGAACGTTCTCAGATTGGCTCCTTGAACACCGCCAAATTGATGCCAATTTTTCATCAAAAATTATGTTCAGCGACGAAGCGCATTTCACTTTGAATGGGACGGTAAACAAGCAAAACTGCCGCATCTGAGCGAACGAAAATCCCCGTGAGTATCAAGAGCAGCCGATGCATCCTCAAAAAGTGACTGTGTGGTGTGCATTGTGGTCAAAAGGCATCATCGGACCTTACTTTTTCGAAAATGCGGCCGGGGACGCCGGTACCGTCAATTCTGAGCAATATCACGTGATGATAGAGGACTATTTTTTGCCGCAACTTGAAGGAATGTATATGGACGATGTTAATTTCCAACAAGACGGTGCAACATGCCACACAACCAACGTCAATATCCATCGATTGCAGTCCTTCTTCGGTGATCGCGTGATTTCGCGCAGAGGAAATGTGCCATGGCCACCAAGATCGTGCAATTTGACTCCCTTGGAATTCTTTTTATGGGGATATTTGAAAAGCAAAGTCTACGTCAACAAACCAGCCACCCTCCAAGAACTCAAAAACAACATCATTGCCGAGATAAATGCCATAGAACCGACCATGTTGCAAAATGTCATTGAAAAGTTCGACCATCGCGTGGACGTCTGTAAATCCAGTCGTGGTGAACATTTGAGCGATATTATTTTTCATACATAAATGATATAAATGAACCTTCAAAATAAAGTACCCAACTTGATTTGAATATCAATCTTTCTTGTTTTAATATGCGTTTACTTTCCTGCGTCCGTTTTGTACAACCCCATATAAAAAACCTATAAAACGTCAAAAAAAACCTATAAAATATCATCTTGCAAACTAGGTAGTTTTTAGGGTGCAAACCGTCATTCCACGTTTGCTCACTCGGATCGTTGTGAGCGTCCATCTATGGAGGAATAGCTCAACTACACGCATTGTTGGTCGCATATGTTTCGTGAAGCCGAGTAGTCTATAGTTTTTATCTCTGAGAAGAAAGTTGGCTGAATAGCAAGATCGCATCCGGATGATTGTGTGTATTGGTCTGCATGTGTATAAAATCAGTGATATTTGCTGTGTAAGAAAATTACGTTTTCTTTGTGTTTTCAAAAGCTGTGAGAAGAATTACATGCCTGCGTTGTGTGGAATTACTGTTAGCATGTATATGACTTGTAATTCGACAGTGTACAGTGAATATATTTATTTCTTATCTCACTCATTTTTTAAATTCAGCAAATATATAATGTCCAGAATGGATAAGAAAAAGTGGATGTGCAACTAATTTCTAGCTTCGAATCTCAAGTGTATTTGAGACAAGAATCCAATGGAATTATCATCAACACATATTATTAGCACAGAAATCCTCACTATGCACCTATTCATTGCCGTTACCGCCAGTAATGCCATCTCTGGAGCAGATTTTACATCACATCAGAGACAAACATTGATAACTGAAGCCTCATGACGTACAACTACAAAACATGCCCATGATATAGTGTTAACTTAACATCTTGTAGAAAAACCTACATAATGTTAAAAAACAATATAATGTCAAAATAAATCGAAATAACGTCAGTTTTCAAGATACGTAATACCCAAGCCGGTTGCCAACTGGACCGATTGGGTAACTAAAAATTTTTTACATCGTAACTTACATATTGCCTTACATATTATATTCAAGATGATTCACTTACCCTCTGTATCATGACGCTCCCTCCAGCCTTCACGATCCTGTCTCTTTCAGTGGGCAATCCAGGTTTATGATCTTGCGTGCTGAAGACAGGCTGGCCCTTGTTGCACAATACAGCCCGGGAATCACCGCAATTGGCTATGTAAATAGTCTTTGGCGACACGAACGCGCATACAGCTGTTGTTCCGCTTTTGTCCTCTCCAGATGTCATTTCGGGCAGCGAACGCATCTTGGAGTCTAGCTCTAATGACAAGTTGAAAATGTTAAATTTTCATTATCAAGTTCTGAATGCAACACAATAAAATGCTGTATTAATATGATATTTTGGAGTGATCTGGACCCCCAGGAGAGCCACTTGGATCTGCCACTGATCACTGGCCACTACTAGCACCATCTATACTACAACTATTTAAAACTGTAATGACTCATACGCGTGATCAACACGTGATCAGAGCTCGATCCCTTCCAGTACAGCCGTATAGCGTACGACATATGTCGTTTCTGTGGCTTTGCGGTGGTCAACAGCACAGACAGAGATGGAAATAATGGCTGATTGTTCTCCGCCGGTAGAACCAATGAAATCAAAGACGCGCCTCGACCGGCAGACTCATAGGCGTCGGCAACGCATTGGAACGTGTTTCGTTGAGCGATCGCATATTGTGTGTTTTTATAAGAATTGTTGTGTGATTGTTATTGTTGTGGTTTCTGTGGTTACTGTTTTGGTTATACTTAACCATGGAGAGTACAAATGGCACGAGTGGAAGTACTGAAAGCCAGGGAACAAGTAGACGGCTTCGTAAAGCACTGAAGAGGGACGCGAAAGAAATCGTGCTCAACGTGTTCAATTATCTGAACAGAACTATGTCGCAGGGAGATGCACTTGCGCGTTGTGAAAGTATGACAGGCGTTCCAGAGTGGACCATTCGCAGGGTGGTGCATGAAAAGAAGAAAACTGGAGCTACTACTGATCCAAAGTTTAATTTGAATGGACGAAAGGCCGTTAAATTGGATGACGATAGCAAAATGGCGTTAAGGCGAACCGTACATTGATTCTTCTTTAGGAATGAGATACCAACCCTCAAGGATGTACATGCAGCGATCAAGAAAAATGAAATTATACCCCAAATGAGCGTCGAGGTAATGAGGAATTCACTGCACGAAATTAATTTTCATTACGAAACGCGTAATCGGAAGTCAGTATTGATAGAGAGACCTGAAATAGTCGCCTGGCGTCGAAAATACCTACGCGAAATGATTGAATATAGGCGACAAAGCAGAAAAATCTATTATTTGGTCGAGACATGGGTAAATGCAGGTCACACAGTTAAAAAAACCTGGATAGACCAAAACATAGTGAGTAACCGACAAGCAAGCATTGAAGGTTTGTCAACAGATCTTCGTGGACCGTCAGGGAAAGGTCAAAGATTGATCGTAACTCATATTGGTAGCGATAGTGGCTTTTTAGAAGAGTGTGGCTTGATTTTCGTCTCTAAGAAAGTAGGTGATTACCATGACGAAATGAATGCCAGCTGCTCCGAGAGCTGGTTTCAAGGGGTGCTTCAGCGAGTTGAGCCCAACTCTGTGATCGTCATGGATAATGCTTCCTACCATAGTCGTCGAGCCGAACGTGTACCGACTATGGGATCTCGAAAAAGTGACATGCAGCAATGGTTGCGCGAAAAAGGAATCCCGTTTGACGATTCATGTGTGAAAGCGGAATTGTTTGAATAAATTAAACAGCACAAACCTGCGAACATTAGTTACGTGACTGATGAGATGGCCCGTCAATGTGGTGTCACTGTGCTGCGGTTACCGCCCTACCACTGTGAACTGAACCCAATAGAGCTCATCTGGGCTCAAGTGAAGGGTTATATTGCGCGCCATAACACAACCTTCAAATTACCAGACGTTAAGGTTTTACTTGAGACTTCCATACAGCTAGTAACGCCCGAAGCTTGGCAGAATGCTATCCGTCATGTTGTGAAGGAAGAAACAAAAATGTGGCAGCTTGACCACCACATCGACACCATCATAGAGCCAGTTATAGTCAATTTCAACGAGGAAAGCGATAGCGACAGTTTATTACTGTCAGATGTAAGTGGAAGCGACGATGAATAAAGGTGATTCCCAAATTTTTGACTTACAATATGTTTCAAACCACTCTTTATTAAGCATGTGACAAATCTAGTTCACCCATGTTAAACATTCATACCCCGCCTATGAACAGCCGACTACTGGTAGTTAAGTGATGTTCACATGAACATCAATGAGTCATTACAGTTTTAGATAGTTATAGTATAGCAATATTGCCAAAATGTTGGCAGTGATATAGCAGCAATATAGTGATAATCAATACTAAGTTTTTTAATTTCAAATAACCTAAATAAAATTAAAAAACATACTGGCACAGTTCGTTGATTTAGAACAGTGCATTGATTGTCTCAAGAAAATTGTATCAAAATTGAAATCAAAATAAAAATGAGATTTTGTCTAAAAGGGTGTTTATGAATATTATATTATTGGAGCAAGAATATCCTGATAAATTACTATTTATGGCGAATTTCCAACAAATCTGAAGTGTTCTACACACTCCTGTTGTGAAAGTTCATTTTGAGTTGTACACCAATATGCAGCCAATAAATGTGTTGTCAGATGTTGAAAAATCTTTGAAGAAATTATTTACGAATATCGCGGTAAATAGTTTTATCCAAATTTCAAGCTGAATTTAGAAAGAAACACTGAAATGACAATACAAATGGTTTTAGAGAACTGGAGGAGATGTACGGACAGTAGGAAACAAACAAAAACACCGTTTTTCTACTTCAAAAGTGCATTTGAAGCTATTGAAAGAGATAAATTACTTACAAAATTGCATCACTATGCATTTAAAAGATCTGTATTGAAAATTCTTCAAAACTACTCAATTGACAGAAGTCAAAAAACAAAGTGGGATCTACATTATCAACCTCAAAAAATATTTCAGTTGGTATACCACAAGGTAGTAAACTAGGTCCACTTCTATTTATTTTATACGTTAATGATATTTTAGACTATTTGCAGATGATACATTAATATACACATCAGATGAAAATATAGATACTGCTTAAAAAATGCTAAATTCTGAATTGGCAAAAATCATAAACTGGTTAAATATAAATAAACTAAAATTGAATGCTTCTAAAACAAAATGTATGCTAACAGTGTTTTTGGTGTTTAAAAGTGCATTTGACACTATTGAAAGAGATAAATTACTTACAAAATTGGATCACTATGCATTTAAAAGATCTGTATTCAAAATTCTTCAAAACTACTCAATTGACAGAAGTCAAAAAACAAAGTGGGATCTACATTATCAATCTCAACAAATGTTTCAGTTGGTATACCACAAGGTAGTAAACTAGGTCCACTTCTATTTATTTTATACGTTAATTATATTTTAGACTATTTGCAGATGATACATTAATATACACATCAGATGAAAATATAGATTCTGCATAAAAAATGCTAAATTCTGAATTGGCAAAAATCATAAACTAGATAAATATAAATAAACTAAACTAAAATTGAATGCTTCTAAAACAAAATGTATGCTAACAGTGTTTTTGGTGTTTAAAAGTGCATTTGAAACTATTGAAAGAGATAAATTACTTACAAAATTGCATCACTATGCATTTAAAAGATCTGTATTCAAAATTCTTCAAAACTAATCAATTGACAGAAGTCAAAAAACAAAGTGGGATCTACATTATCAATCTCACCACAAGGTAGTAAACTAGGTCCACTTCTATTTATTTTATACGTTAATGATATTTTACACTATTTGCAGATGATACATTAATATACACATCAGATGAAAATATAGATACTGCTTAAAAAATGCTAAATTTTGCATTGGCAAAAATCATAAACTGGTTAAATATAAATAAACTAAAATTGAATGCTTCTAAAACAAAATGTATGCTAAAAGGGAAACACTTAAATAAAAATACTATCACAGTTAGAATAAAATGATGAATCAATTAAATATTTAGGTATATATATTGTTAGTAAACTAAAGTTTTAGGATCACTTAGAATACATTATTTAAAAAATTGCCAAAAAACAAAATAATTTTATAGGCCTTCTCATAGTCTTATTACATATTCCAAAAAATTATTCTACCATATTTATTATATTGTTCAACTATCTTGTTCACTGCCAATGAAGCTTTATTTTCAAAATCACAATCCCTCCAAAATGAAGCATGAAATAAAATAATATAGAATCTCATTTCATATTTGGTTATTTTTACATTTAAAATAAAAAATCATTTAGATCACTACGTAAAATTGAATAATCATTACCACAATTATTATACAAGAGGAATTTCATTTCATATTTGGTTATTTTTACATTTAAAATAAAAAATCATTTAGATCACTACTTAGAATTGAACAATCATTACCACAATTATTATACAAGAGGAATTATAGATTTTTTTTTTACAAAATTGCAATAGTAATATAACCAGCAAATCAATATTTCAGAAAGGATTACTTGAATTTAACAACCTTTATGCTACAGTTTAAAAGAAAATTAAAGTAATATTTCATGGACAAGGGAAATTCTTAGAGATGCAAATTTTGTCTTTCCAAATATCTATATGTTACATAATTGTTGTAGTTTTTTTAAAGAGTGTAATTGTAGCAATGATGCTAAGCATATCTTAAACAAAATATCAAGAAAATTAGGGAAAGAATGCACCCAGCATTATTGACAGAAGTTGTAGGTATGTCATTTTAACAAAACTGGACTGAAAAGGATCAGTAATCAAATATTTGGTATCACAATCCAACACAAATTATAAATCAAAACTATAATGCAATGTATATCCAATGATTTATCAACTTTATTGCAATGATGTAACATGTACTCATCAGTGTGCAAAAATGAATCATACGTTTGCCTGTTTTTGTGTATGTCACCTACAATGAATACCAGCTCTGAACTAAGACTATTTTACCTAGGAATCCTTTATGGATGGCCTTCATTACATCCTCCTGGAACTCCTCTGTGGCCATGATTGTGTCCAGCAAGTGCTCGGCACAGTGTGCAGAGACCATAGCTCCGGCATGTCCATCGAACACAGCAAAGTAAGACCAGTCCTTGAGCGCGTCGCCCAGGTTAGTCTTGGCCATGTGGGCATCCTCCATTTCGACGCGCCATCCCTGCATGCTGGCCACCCCATAGCGAATGCCGTTACCTTCCCCAGAATCTTGAAATTTGTCTGTCTTTGGCTTTTCAAGAAATGCACCCATCCTGTATTATCTTTTTCTTCTACACCTTTAGCGGAGCTTCATTTTTTCTAAAATAAGAACTACTGTAAACAAACTGGACGCTCCAGCAAAAAAATGATGAGGTATTAAAGACAGGAGATTGTTTGGTATGAGCTTACACCTATAGATCACTGTGAATCCATTCTCCGTTTAGAGTTTTTGCCATGTCAAAATTATATCAAAGACTTTCCCAATTACAATAATAAAATAAAAATATGGCGATTTCCACGGAAATTACGCGTGCGCTACCTTATAAATAGAAAAATTCGGATGACGACATTTCCATCCAATAAATTTGTCAAAACGTGAATCAATTGAAGCTAGGCGTAAAAATAGCTATAAGAACGCCATCTGTCAAATTTGAATCTACGACTAACTTCACCATTGACGGCATTAAATTAAGGTCCATTCACACACAGCCGAGACATGACAGTGGCGTGACGTGCCAGTGATTCTTGCTGATTTGAACTCGCAGTGTTTTCAATTCACACCGGTCAGTATTTTTCTCCATGCTCTGACAGTGCAGTTGTGTTCCGTGAGGTCGAGATGGCAAAATTTTCAGCGGATGACCTTGCAATTATTGCATTAATTCTGGATTTTTTTAATACTCCAACTACCACGAAGGCCTAAGGCCTAAACCTCCGGGGTACCGTGGTGCTATAGGGGCAAACAGGGGAAGGGGGGGCGCCACACGGACTCTGGCGAGGGAACACGTGTGCATGCAACATGCACACATTGTGGCCCTCCCTACGAGATCCGCCGGGTGGTTCCTCCTCGTTCGACATTCAGAGACCGTCTACCACCTACGAAAGATGAAGAAGATGAAACGAGAAGAAAACGGAAGTCCATGTATTTTGAATTTGACTGGTTCTACAACACGGGATGTACGCGTACAAAGTTTTGACCATTTATAACAAAATATTCACGAAATTACATAAAAACCCTGCCGTGAAAATCGAAAAATATCGTTCCAAAACAATGCGATGACCACGGTACGGCGTCGTCGAGGGCACTAACAACACGGCCACTTCCACGTGCCAGTCTAGTGTGAATCAGTTCATCCAAATTCCAGGAAGAATGTTTTTAGTTTCGCGAGGCGGATCACAGCATTGTCACGTCACAGCTGAGTATGAATAGGCCTTAATGCGGCTCTCACATGATGCTGCCAACGTTGTATACAACGTTGTTTACATTGCAACGTTCGACAGCCAACAATTATTGACAAGTGTGTCTCCTAACTCCTACAGGATGGGATGAACTTTTTAGTCTCGGTCGTTCGACGCACGGTGGGACCAACGTCTATTATCGGTGTCAGTGTCGCGCTTGAACCTTCACAACTAAAGGAAAAATTATACAAAATGAACGATGAAACAATTTTTTCGAGCGCCGAACAATAATTTCAGATAAGTCTTCAGCGACCAAAATTTGTCTGTCAGAAGCCTCATCTAAAAATAAAACTAATTCGTTAACTAAAATAATACTAATTGTCTCGGCCCGAGTAAACATAGCATGGACACACAAGACAAGTATTGAAATATACTCTACTAGACTCTAGAAGACTATCCGTAGCGAAATTTTTCTCGAAATCGTTGCACACCGCTTAAAAAATACAAATGATGATTGGAGAACTGCCGCTTTGTCGTACTAAATGACTCTGTCCTTTTACCCCGGGATAGACAAACGTTTTAGCAGTTGACCTTGTCAATCTTGTCACCTAGATTGCAGCGTTGCCAGCTCATTGGACAATTTTGCTACCTCTGCTATTCTGCTAGAATATAGAAAAAAGGTTTTGAATAAAATATTGAGAGATACCAACGGAGATATATAAAATTTGAGGCGTAGCAATGTTTGCTAAAAAATTAAAAAAGCTGTTATTTACATTTTGCGTCGCCTGGCGTCTATGCGGCGGAACGTTAATGTCTTTGAACACTTTTATAAATGCCCAGTTTTATAGGATAAAATACTTTTTGAATACAACAATTGGAAAAAAACAATGTTTTATTATATAAATATATTTATTAACTATTTGATCTAAAACTGCATGATAATTAATATGAGAAGTACGATTTTCATTTTCTCTATATATTAGTGGAATATGGTTTTTTAGTCACTGCATTCGCACCTGGTCGAGGGAAACCCCTAGAAAACCTCAACCGCTCCTGCTAAGATTAATTGTATCAGGTGAAGAAAAATCTTTCCATAATTCTGGCTTCATTTGTTGTACAATCGAAAATCGCCAGCATGCCACAGTTATTAACCTAAGCAAACGTAGCATTGAAGTAACGGTTTATACGAGGGTCATTCTTCAAGTAAGAACCGTTTTGTAATCCAGTCAGAGAAATTTTATTTATGAATGAAAATTGTATCACAAACTAAAATATGAACATTTTTTCGTTTTTCAACATAGCCACCATAAACATTCAAGCACAAGTCGAGTCGTGGCACCAGTTTTTGTGTTAATGTAGCATCTAAAAGTTATCCTGTGGTTTTCATGACGACTATTTCCCTCGTCTTAATTTATACCGATCACAAACGCGCAATTTTGAATTATAAATGGTTTCTAGATAGAAATATTATATGACAGTACATGTTAGCATTTTTTCCCAGTTTACCCGCGGCAAAACTTGACAACTATTGCCACCAAAAATACAATATCTTTGATAACAAGTAATGATGGTCTCCTAGGATACCAGAAAAAGACGCTAAGCTAAATTTTGTATTATTGTTTTTAAACAGTGCTATTCAGCATGGAGAGACATGGGAATCAACGGGTAAAAAATTGAAGACTGATTTTGCAAAAATTAAAAGCCTTCTGGACACATTTAAATTAACTCTGAATATAAAAAAAACTCATTACATTGCCTTCTCTATAACCATGGCTAATAAACTTGATAATATTGATGAGCCTTTGAAAGAAGTAAATGAAATTAAATATTTGGGGGTTGTTGTTGATAAGCACTTGAAGTGGGACCGACATGTGCTGTATTTGAGCAAAAAAATTAGATTTTTCATCCATAAATTCTACGCTCTTCGTAATATACTGAACATTAAACTGCTATTAATGATTTACAAAGCAGTTGTGGTGCCACTATTGGTATATGGCATAATTGTGTGGGGGTGGGATGTACGGTTCAAATCTTGGGCAGTTAAAAGTGGTGCAGAACGATATTGTAAGGATTATTCTAAAAAAACCTAGACTATATCCCACTATGCAACTTTATTCTCAAGAAATAAACAATATTAAAATCTTATACAGGGTGTTCCATAATTATTGCGACAAAATGATAGGGGTTGTAGAGGGCATCAAAATGAACAATTTTTCCTTATAAACCCCTGTTCGGAAATATGCCGTTTGGGCTGCAGCAAAAAAAAAAGATCAGTTTCTTGAAACAGCTTACCTACAGTAATTGCTCAAAGTGTCCTCCACCTTGCTCAATACACAGCTGTGCACGATTGTTCAATGATCGGCGAGCTCTGTGCCATACCCCCGGTATGTCCTGAACATGTGCGGACGCGGCCATCACTCTTCCCAGTAGCTCTTGTTGGTTGGGAACGGGAGTTTCGTACACTAAAGCTTTCAGATAGCTCCAGATAAAATAATCCAGTGGGGTCAGGTCAAGTGACCGCGCATGCCAAGGCACAGGGCCACCTCGGCCTATCCACCTATTTGGAAATTTGTCGTCCAAATACTGCCGCACTTGTAAAGAAAAGTGGGCTGGACCGCCATGGTGTTGAAATCACATGTTGGCTCTTATATTCAGTGGCACATTTTCTAATAGTTCCGGTAGCACACGCTGTAAGGATCGACCATAAGCATGCCCATCCAAAAGTGGTGGAAGCAGATATGGCCCGATGATATGCTCGTCCACAATGCCGCACCAGATGTTAATTGAAAACTGATGTTGGCTGGCATGAGGGTTTTCTTCATCCCAAATGTGACTGTTACGGCTATTAAAATAACCGTCCTTTGTAAAACAGGACTCGTCAGTGAACAAAACGTAGCGACCAAAGTTTGGTTGCCTCAACTCCTGCTGCAGCCACCAACGACAAAAACGTCGACGCGGCAGATAGTCTGCTGGACCCATGGCTTGGACTTTTAAAAGGTGGTACGGGTGTACGATAACAAAAATGTAAACACAGCAGGCTTTTTTTACAAACCGGCGAGACCATGAAATGTGCTAGACGAACATTTTGCAGCTGGTGAATTTTTTGTTTCTCCTATGAGCTCTTAAGGTAAAATTAACTGTAGTGCTCAAACGGCATATTTACGAACAGGGGTTTATAAGGCAAAATTGCATATTTTTATGCCCTCTACAACCCCTATCATTTTGTCGCAATAATTATGGAATACCCTGTATATCCTTGGAGTATGTAGTTTTGTACATGCAAGTAGGAAATTAAATACAAATTATGTGTCCCATAATTATATGACCCGAGCAAACACCACTCATAACCTGAACGTCCCGCAGTCCAGGCGAGATTTAAATTTGTGTTTTGTGACATATCTTGCACCTAAATTTTACAACTTGATTCCTGCTAATATCAGGAATATTGGAAATAATAAAAATGTAATGTTTCGTTTAATATGTTCTGTTGGGAAAATCGTGAACAATTTATGCGTCTATTTTAAGTTGCGGTGAGGTAGATTGATCTGCCTATTTGTTTCTTCTCTTTCTTTTTGATATTATTGTGACACTTTTTTTCTGTTAAGTTAAATCTATGACTTGCAACAAAAATATGAAATTTTCTTTCATTTTGTGTATATCGTTTATCACGTTTTGTTTGTATAGTTGAGTGATTTTATACAAAAATATATATTGCACGATGTGAGGTTAAGTGGTAGAGTAGCCAGCTGGCTAAACTTCGCCTCGCAGTGTGGAGGGATTAATAAAGACATTATTATTATTATATTTATCAATTAATTACTGTTTTGGTCTGTTTTTGCGCATACAAGTCTTTAAACTTAGGCGCTCATATATTATAGAGAAACTTTGTTTTTATTTCGTTAATGTACAGATATATATTATTTTTATATTGGTAAATTTGGTTTCTGCTGAATAAATGTGGTAGAGTTCAGGGCGTACTGTTCTCTCCAACAACAACAGCTTATGTAGTGAAATATTTCTCAACCATGAACTCACAAAAGCGAATCTAGATATATACACGGCTGTCAAAGTTTTAACAAAGACCGAAATTTTAAGTTCCTTTGGTTTGAAGATGGTAATACCCTTTTAAGGAAGGACGAAAGCTCAAAAGTTCTTATTAGTAATAAAAGCCAGTTGGAAAACTAGTAAGGCCTCGTGAACAACTAAAAATTGCTTACATGAACTTGAAGTATAAGAAATAAACTGGATCTGGTGCAGTGTCTGGTTGTGAGTGAAGATTTTGCAAAATAAAATTCTGGAAATGTTGTTTAATTTTGATTAGCTTACAAGTTCTAATACAAATTTAAACAAATTACGAGTGATATTGGAGGTGGAAAATGTAAACTTATAAATAATCTACAAAAAAGTAACATAAATATTAGGTTTTAGCATAACGTGCATGATCACCAAACAAGATCACTAAATAATGTTTATCAAGTTTCCACACAATATAGGTTTAAAAAGTTCAATCACAGACGCAATTAAAAAATTTATTGTATTGTATAAAAGATTTAAATAACTATAGAAGTTTTGTTAGAGAATTGAAAGTTTTTAAAAATGTTTTTTAATTTATTTGTTGAAATTATGAGCAACATTGCAGTGTATAGTTTATAGATATTGGTTATTGTTTTGTTATTCTCGGGGCCAGTGTTTACAAGAACTGATTGGAGAATTATTGTTAAAACTGGTTATTCATTTTGTATTATTGTGTTTAAATAAACTATTAAAAAAAATGAGTCGCTTTGGAAGTGATTCTTTGACTAATATTGATCTGGCGAATGAGAAATACCTCAGTATATGACTAATCTCTTAGTGTATGCAATGTGCGCAATTTATTTAAAAAGAGATAGGATGTCAGCCCTAACACACAAGTAGCTGAATATGCAAAGCTCACCTAATTTGCTGCACAGGTATCCTGTTTCGCTCAGAAGGGTTAGAAGTAGACCTAATTCCCACTTTGGAAACACTTAACACCCACGTCACCACTGAGAGACAATCGAGAACCCTATAGTGAACACCACTAATGAAAAAAAGTAGTTAAACCGAATAGAGCTCTGTACGGAGCTGTGAACACGTAGACATTCCGTTGCGCCGACGGTTGCCGAGAGACTGATGCGTGTGAGTGCTGTACCTCGCTGCGGCGATACGGCACGGCCGGGTAGTATCGCCACGCCCCTTTCCAACTCCCACTTTCTCCATTCTTCCAAATTTAATGATTCTATAATCTATATGTAGTCGTGTTCATGACGTAGACATAAACAGGTACATCTTGTTCTACCAATAATTTTACCATTCTGTCCATGGGTGCAGTGCATAGAAAATCTGTCAGCAACTAAAACATTGGAAAATTGCATGAAGTAGATTGTCTCGGTATTACCGAAAAATGTGATTGTCAAGTTTTCGGGGGTGCTCGGGTATTTAATAGACACCGTAGATCCAGATTTGAACTAGGTATATGTCAAATTTTCAATTCAATAGAAGTGTCGAGAAATGAATTTGACAAAATGGCGTCAAGTAGGTTGACTCTGCACTTCACACACATTCAGTACATAAAGGAATAGACATTATTTTCGTCCCTACAAAGCTTTTGCATCCTTAGCATTGTAGTAACATTGTGTAAATATTTGATAGAAATACGAGCTATACTTCTCGAGCTATAGGCGGTTATGATATTAGTGGATAGATCGACATGGTTTTTCGTGATGTCATGTAACCTCCTTTCAGAGCTCTTTCGCGATTACAATACCCCGCTGCCAATGGGCTTCACAAAAGGGAAATAAAGCAAGCTGAACTTGAAAAAAGTGGTATCAAGTAGATTGATGCTGTACTTCCCATGCAAAAATTTTCATTTGAATATTGTGATGATACGATGCGTTATTTTCTAATCTAGCATCGGATAACAACCTTTTTCAATTGAAAGTGAGATACAGAGGCAACCTACCAGATACCGTTTGTGAAAAACTTCTTTTTTGTTGTAACATTCTAGCAAACTAGCAGAGGTAGCAAAATCGTCCGATGAGCTGGCAACGCTGCAATCTAGGTGACAAGAAAGGCAAGGTCAACTTTCAAAACGTATGACTATCCCGGGGTAACGACGGAGTCGTTTAGAACGTCAAAGCGGCAGTTTTCCAATCTTCATTTGCATATTTTTAAGTGTGGTGCAACGATTTCGAGAAAAATTTAGCTACGATAGTCTTCTAGAGTCTAGAGAGTTATATTTCAATAGCCTTGCTTGGCAATGTTGTCTTTACTCTGGCCATTGTCTCTATATATCGATTTCATATTTCATTGAAGTTGATTATTTTTGCCTGACATTGAAGGTGTTCCGTGTTCCATTGGTTCCAGTCATCATCTCGAAGAGGTCTGTTCATTGTGTGAAATCGAATCAGACAAATTTTCTGTTCGTTTCACATTTCAGTTTAAATTTTGGTTATAAACGCGTAAAAGATGAATTTGAATTTTCATCTTATGTTCTTCGTCACACTCTAACTGCTGAAATAGGTACTCGCAAATAGAATCCAAAAAAATATTGTGACAAGTACTGTTGAGAGACCATTTGAGACGTTCCTATTATATTGAAAAGTTGAGGAACCCCAAGATAATTTGTGAATGGTAGGAAATGAATAAGCCCTGAAGTTTTTCCCAGCTATATAATGGTGACCTGGAAGTTGACCTTGACCATGACATTCAAGATAATTTTAACGTCAAGTCGATTTTTTTAATGGAACCCCCCATTTTAACCCCGTAAATGAGAACGAAAAAATTTGCATTTAAACATAGTCTTACTACTATTACTATATAATATTCTTAAATTTTGACCTTAAGAGATCAGGCAGGGTGATATAACTTGAAAGCCAGTAGCCGTACAAGGAGACCACCGAGACATTATTTTCATGATTTTTCCCAGAATATTCAATGGTGTCCTTGGTTCTAACCTTGGCCATGACCTACAAGGTCATTTGAAGGTTAACTCTTTTTTAAAGGAACGTCATACTTTCGAGCGAGGAAATGGAGAAAACGGAAAATTTTGTGTTCGAATATGCCCTTGACCATTTTTTGACCTTGATTTTGGACTTGATCATCAAGGTGAAACACAAGTTTACCATTTCTTGATAATTCATAAAAACGGCAAGACTATACTTTAGCGCATAAAGACCGAAATTCGTGTTTTATTTTCGAAAAAAATTGAAGAAATCAATAGAAATGATCATTTTTCAAGGATAATAGAGAAACTATAAAAAATCGTTGTTTTTTTGCAGAAAAAGGTTCAAAACTAGCCGTGTAATAAGCTAAAATAATAGTTCAAAATAGATACCGTAAATGATGGCATTTACTTCGCAACCTGTGTAAAGGTGTTGCGTTGTGATTTTTCAATGTTTTCTTGAAATTCCTTAACCATTTTTTGGCGCATTTTCAACGAGATCTAAGTACTTGCGTTTTTAAGAGTTTAAAAATAGAAACAAATCTCAATGGCCATTTTATAACGTCCATTTCTTGACAGATAATACAAATGCTGTGTTGCTAAATTGTACTTTTTTGGAGAAACACGTAATCAAAAAAATTTTATTTGAAAAATAAAAGTCTCAATTGTAAATGGCTTGTTTTATAAGAAATTGTCCTAATAGTGAAGATTGAAAACTAGATGAAAAAAACAGTGGAAAATTCACCATATAGGCTCGTGTCACATAAAAAATACAAAAGGCACTAGGGTCATTGCATATGAAAATTCTCAAATTATGGTTATTGATATATCGTGTTACCACCCAAAATGCAACTTTGAAGTTCTATAAAATAACAAGCAGAGGCTTCCTTGAAGCAAAAATGATATTTTCGTACTAGTTACATCCTAATTTTCTACTTTAAAATAAGAAATGAAATATTTGCGATATGCGCTATAGTTCAGTCCAGAAAAATGTGTGATCCCCAGATAAACTGAATTCGATGTCTCAAATACCAATTTTTTTGATCTTCGGTGCAAAACCCTGAAATAAATATAATGAGCGTACACTTTTAATGAAAATTTCTGTTGTATAAATTTTCGAAATTTCTCCGAATCCAATTTTGAAGTGTGGCACGGTGGCTAGTTATAGATCTTTGGTGACGTTAGTTAATATCTATCTATTTCGTTGTATAAAGTTTCTCCCAAATTTTTGAGAATTCTCTTCTGATTAATAATCATTTATACATTATAATCTGTTGTATCGTATCATATTTTAAAATGTTGATTTTTTGTTTTCGTGTTCCATGGTTTGACGTTTTATACGGTGTACCCCCGTGTACACGGTTTTACACGGCGATTACACCCCTTGCCCCTGTGATTATGTACTATGTAGAAAAGTAGAAACCCTAGGAACACAACTACCATCAATCAGCTGTTTGAGACGTATGAAAAGTCAACAGAATTTTTGTCAACAAAGTGCATGAATGGCTAATGGCTTTTGGTGGATAGTTTTTACATAAGAAAATGGCCATGCTATCTACAGTTAATCCAGTTTGTTATCTTATTGAAAGACAGTATAAGGACAATTTAAGTATACAAAATAAATTATTTAGTGAAAGATTAGTGAAAGCAAGAAACTTGTATAGAAAAGATTTGCTGGCACATTATGGGTGTGTGAATGCTATAGAATTTTCAGAAAATGGGGAATACTTGGTTTCAGGCAAGTGAAAAAATACATTACTATTTTATAAAATTTATGATTAATAAATAATTATTCGTCGTTAATAAAGATTTCTGACCAACATTTAATATTAGAAATGATTCAGATTATATAGAAAAACGCATAATAATGCAGATGCAGTTTTTAAACTGACAATATGACAAGTCAACCTTTTTATAATTTGAAGGAGAGCAGAAACTAAAAAATGTATTGTTGGCTATTGATTGATTATAATTATAATAATTGATATTGTAGATACATCAAAAATAGCATAAATTAATATAATTATTCTGAGGAAGACCATTTTTTGCATAGTAATAGTAGTAGGTATATATGTTTTTATATATTTGTCTGGAATTTTTCGTACTCCCCAACATTTTTTGCAGAATATATATATTACTACAAATATACACAGGCAGTGTTTCCATTATTAAAATAAATAGCAAAAATATCATTTAAATTGAGACATTCTGTCAATGATTATTATTCCTTATTTGAATAAGGTGTTTTTCTGAAGAATCTTGTGACAAAGTACATTTATAGTGACACTAGGCAAAATTATACTTTATTACAAAAATGAAACGTACTAATTAGTGAATAAAACTAATTAAAAAAGTAATACAAATATAATAAAATGGTGTCATTTATATAGAAAACGAAAATTTCAAATAAAGAGTAAAGCTTATCAAGACCACAAGACTTTGGAAACAAATAGTTGTGCTAGAGTGAGACATGTAACAGTTTAAAAAACCATAGGGTAATACTTTCCACAAAAAAGATTTCATTGCATAAGTAAAATTTCAAGCTTATAAAAGAAATAGAACATATTTCCTTAAATATTTATATTCATTAATTCTCCTCTACTGTATTGAGGCCATTGGTGTGGAAATTAAATTGGTGTCAGGTAGATTGGTTCTGTACTCTGTATGTCTCACACATTTACATACATCTATTTTCAAATTTACCACAAATCAGCACAGATTAAAAATGTTTTGATCCGCAAAAAGTGCTGTTTCTGTATCATTTTCGGTAAACATATTGGTCACTTCCCAGTGAATGTGATGACGCCAAAATGACGTCATTATTCGGTCGCTTTTGGTCGGAAACGTCATTGACTAAAAAATGACGTCTTTATCATCGCTATTTTTATTTAAAAGGCTGTTATTTTGACATATTTGTTGGACAGTCAGTACTGAAAAATCAAGTCTTACCTACAAAGTATAGATTTTTAATAAACAGTAAGGTAAACTAGATAATAACTACTTTATTGTCATTCATAAATAGTATCAGTTTTGGCTGAAGTCATTGCTTGTGGGGCATCGTAGTAACATTCAACAATTTTTCAGGAGCATTTGAATATACAGTAATGGACAAAAGTATATGGACAAATATGAATATATACCTAATTACCTTTAGAAAACGAATTCATACTTCATTGCTCCATAAACAAATGGGTTATTAGTAGAAAAACTAAATTCCTTGTTTTTACATTATCTGCAATGAACACAATACAAGTCTGAATATAAGCACTATTTTATGAGGGACAAAAATATGTAGACAAATTCTCTTCAACATTAGTTTAGTACAGTTTCATGTCAGAAGAGGATTAGTTTGTGTTTATCAAGTATTGTGGAATAAGTTGAGTGATTTTAAGACCATGCCACGTGGTCCAGAAATTTCTTAAGATGTGAAAACTAAGATCATTGAGTTATACAGAGATGGTCAACGTCAAGTCGACATTGCGAAAAATTTGAAGCTGAAGCTTAAAGCAGTTTGGGCAATATTGAACAAATATATCAAAAAGATATCTTGGAAGCCTCTAAGAGAAGTGGTCGGCCTAGAAAACTGAATGCTAGATCAGTTAGATTAATAAAAGTAATTTCATCCAAAGATCCGTTTAAAACCCCACTTCGCCCGTGTAAGAAGCCGCTAATCTCAAGGAAAAACCGTAAGGACCGATTACAATTTGCACGGTTGCATCTTGATTGGAGCATCTGTGACTGGAAGAGGGTATGTTTCAGTGACGAATCCAAGTTCAATATGTTTGGATCAGATGGTGTTCATTATGTTAGACGTCCTAGTGGACAAAGATTGAACCCCAAGTACACTTTGCCCACTGTCAAACATGGAGGCGGGTCTGTTATGGTTTGGGGGTGCTTTTCGGGGTTTGGGATGGGACCTTTACATAGAATAGATGGCATTATGGATAAGTTTGTATACACAGACATACTAAAGCATGTCATGTTACCCTTTATGGAAGACAATATGCCATTAAGATCAATCTTCCAGCAAGATAAAGACCAGAAGCACACTTCAAATCTCACAAAGAAATTATTTCTGGATGAAAAAATACCAGTTCTCAAATGGCATTCACAGTCTCCCGATATAAATCCCATTGAGAATCTATGTGAATACTTAGATAAGCAAATACGAGATAAATATTATTCAAACAAGAATGATTTTTTTGCCGCTTTAGAGCAAAAGTGGAGACAGATTGATGAATGTTATATCAAGAAAGTTCTACAATCTATGCCGAGACGATGCCAGGCGGTGATTGATTATAATGGTTATGCTACAAAATATTAACGCAAACATGGTTGCTTTTCTATAATTCAATGAACTTTGCTTCTTTTTTCTATAATTGTTTAGCTTTGTCTATATATTTTTATCCTTCATAGTTCCAGTTTTTTCAATTATTTTTTTATTGAAGGGAGTCTAATAAATCTATTTATGTATAAGTGAGTATTATGCTATAACGAATTATGTATACAGGTTGGTGTATTAATAAAACAAGTTAAAAAAGAAATACAGCAAAATATTAATTTGTCCATATACTTTTGCCCATTACTGTACCTAGCGATTATTTTGGCGAGCGATGTACGTCATATGAACGTGACATAGACGTCATATCGACTTTGTATTTGGTCTTTTATATGACGTACTATGACATCGTACAATGACGTTAATTGGGTGTGACATTAGACCCTAACATCGACGTCATTTTTTTTGGTCGGCGTAAGTCAGTAGTGCTCTAAACATGTCGGCATTGTGTCGTCACTATGTTCACTGGGTCAAAGAATGAGTCATACCCCATTGAAAAACGAAAAACTTTGTATGGTGAAAAACAAACATATATTTTTTTTAATTTCTTTTATTATGATCTGTTATGGTATCATTGGGTATTTGACATCAGACAATTATTTTGCCAACATCAACCCATATTTCCAAGACAATGGGACATACAATTAAATTTCCCCAAAATATGCAAAACAGTTGGCCCAACGAGTCATATAAAGGGTGTCCCAGAAGTCGACGTCAAGCCAAAACCGGGTGATAGGCAAAGTCATAACAGCTATCAGAAAAATATTTAAAAAAATTTTATGTATGTGTTTTGAAAATTATAGGTCTTTGAAAAAGATATAGAAATTTCACACCCTACCGCAGTCTGTCAACTCCTGTTACTACAAATATTAACTTTTTTTGGATTTTATTTTTACAATGTAATGATGAATAATGCATCTTCAAACTGGTGTCTCAACCTTACTGCCAACTTTTCTCGTTCAGGAAAAATTGCCACTTATTTCCCAACCAAGTATTCCAAAGTAAAACTTTGCTCAACTTTAACTGGCTGTACTGGAAAAAAATGTACTACGAGAGTTTGGCAAGTAACCTTGAAAGTTGGCGCATTTAATAAGGATTCCAAAATGGTATAACACTTAGGAGATAACTCGTTAACTTATGCACAATTTTTATTTCAAGATTTCCTAATTAAACAGCGATTATGAAAACGCACAAGGACCCTTAAGGATAACTGTTTGCACAATAGTGGGCGTCAAAATGCTACTGATGATGATTTACCTTTACAGCAAATGCTCAAACTGTTTTCCTTCAGCCGCAATACACGCTCGACATCTTAAAAAAGATCGGGTTATTAAACGAGCGAATCCACGGTTATTAACAAACTCAGCTGCTTCCAATAGTTTTTGCCGTAGCTCAGCTACATTTTGAATCGGCTTGAAATACACTTTTTCTTTTACAGTTCTCCAGTAAAAAAATCTAAAGGATTCAAATCAGGTGATCGGGCTGGCCACGGTATTGTACCAGACCGCCTTATCCATCTGCCTGGAAAGTTTTGATCGAGATACTCTCTCACTGAGAGTGCATAGTGCGCTGGGCAGCCATCATGCTGAAACCACATGTCCCTGTAAATATTCAGTGGCACGTCCTCCAATAAATTTTCTAAATGATTTTGCAAAAAACCTAAATAAACCTCAGCAGTCAAAGTCTCTGGGAACTCAAACGGACCGATTATTTTACCATTTAAAATTCCTGTCCAATGGTTTATCTTGAAGCGATATTGAGATTTATCTTCTCTCATCAAATGTGGGTTTGCTACGTGCCACTCGTGTAAGTTATGCAGGTTCATGTATCCATCTTTCTTAAATGTGGTCTCATCCGACCACAAAATGTTTTCAAAGAACTGTTGATCTTTCCTGTGTTTTTCTAACATTGGGCGACACAAAGCAACTCGGGGCTCATAATCCCGGGGCAGGAGAGGTTGAACACGCTGTATGTGGTATGGATGAAGCACATCACTTACTTGCTATTGCACACTTTGATACCGATCAGTACTCCTTCGTTTACTGCGCATCTTTACATGTTCGTGCTTGTTGATTTTGTACTGTTACTAATTTTGGATTGGTGAACTGGACTGTTGATCGCTTGTGATTTGGATTTGGACTGTTTAATTGCTCTTCAAAACAACATTTGCTTTCCTTAGACTATCTTTGATAGTGTAATTGTGCAGTGCCGCTATGTCCGTGTACACCGTACAAGAATATGCATCTCATTTATGGGGAATGCAGATGCAACGCTAGTGCTGCAGCGAGACTTTACTGTGAGAGGTACCCGAATGCAGCTCGTCATCCAGATCATCGAGTATTCACAAATGTGCACCGCTTACTGTTCTCAGAGGGTCAACTACCAAACCAATCACACGGTGAGGGAAGATCTTTCCTTCCTTACGAAGACGTGGTGCTAGGAGCTGTCGAAGAAGACCCGAGTACTTCAGTGCGTGCAGTAGAACTAAAAACAGGTGTGCCCAAAAGTACAGCCCATAGAATCTTGCAAAAAACGTGCTCCATCCATACGTACAGCGTGTTCAAGCCCTTCTGCCCCGGGATTATGAGCCACTAGTTGCTTTTTGTCGCACAATGTTAGAAAGACACAGGAAAGATCCATAGTTCTTTGAAAAAATTTTATGGTCGGATGAGACCACATTTAAGAAAGTTGGGTACATGAACCTGCATAACTTACACGAGTGGCACGTAGCAAACCCACATTTGATGAGAGAAGATAAATCTCAATATCGCTTCAAGATAAACCATTGGACAGGAATTTTAAATGGTAAAATAATCGGTCCGTTTGAGTTCCAGGGACTTTGACTGCTGAGGTTTATTTAGGTTTTTTGCAAAATCATTTAGAAAATTTATTGGAGGACGTGCCACTGAGTATTTACAGGGACATGTGGTTTCAGCATGATGGCTGCCCAGCGCACTATGCACTCTCAGTGAGAGAGTATCTCGATCAAAGCTTTCCAGGCAGATGGATAGGACGGTCTGGTACAATACCGTGGCCAGCCCGGTCACCAGATTTGAATCCGTTAGATTTTTTTTACTGGGGAACTGTAAAAGAAAAAGTGTATTTCAAGCCGATTCAAAATATAGCTGAGCTACGGCAAAGACTATTGGAAGCAGCTGAGTTTGTTAATAACCGTGGATTCGCTCGTTTAATAACCCGATCTTTTTTAAGAAGATGTCGAGCGTGTATTGCGGCTGAAGGAAAACAGTTTGAGCATTTGCTGTAAAGGTAAATCATCATCAGCAGCATTTTGACGCCCACTGTTGTGCAAACAGTTATCCTTAAGGGTCCTTGTGCGTTTTCATAATCGCTGTTTAATTAGGAAATTTTGAAAAATTTTCATCAGTTTTTCTTCAAATACAAATTGTGCATAAGTTAACGAGTTATCTTCTAAGTGTTATACCATTTTGGAATCCTTATTAAATGCGCCAACTTTTAAGGTTACTTGCCAAACTCTCGTAGTACATTTTTTTCCAGTACAGCCAGTTAAAGTTGAGCAAAGTTTTACTTTGGAATACTTGGTTGGGAAATAAGTGGCAATTTTTCCTGAACGAGAAAAGTTGGCAGTAAGGTTGAGACACCAGTTTGAAGATGCATTATTCATCATTACATTGTAAAAATAAAATCCAAAAAAAGTTAATATTTGTAGTAACAGGAGTTGGCAGACTGCCGTAGGGTGTGAAATTTCTATATTTTTTTCAAAGACCTATAATTTTCAAAACACATACATAAAATTTTTTTAAATATTTTTCTGATAGCTGTTATGACTTTGCCTATCACCCGGTTTTGGCTTGACGTCGACTTCTGGGACACCCTGAATAGGTACTTATGTCCCAAAGTAGTAACTTAAAGATCAACGTCTCCCACGATACATTCGTCTTTTTAAATATATCTGAAAAAATATTTTTGAGACAACCGTACTACTACTGGATGTGTTGACTAGCATGAGGTTGAGCAATGTCCATTTTACCCCTTGCAGGTGGTGATGATAAACGGGTACTGCTATGGAAGCTTGCGACCGCCATGTTCGATAAAGGTACTCCGATCGTCATGCGAACACCACATGGCAGCAACATATTCTGCTTGTCGCTCGATTCGCGTAACGAGAAGATTTTTTCTGGCGGCAACGATGACCAAGTGCTCATGCATGAAATCTTAACGTAAGTTTATATGATAAAGTGGGGCAAAACAATCATAATTTTCACTGTCTCTTCACGTTTTTCTAAAATCATCAAATATTTTCAGAATTGTTCGGAAAAGATCGTCTGAAATATTGCCCCCTGATTTTACCCAGGGTTTCTAAAGTAGTTATTAATTTATTTTCAGCCGCAACTTAATAATGGCTATTCCACACGAGAAGCCAATTTATGGTATAAGTATTCATCCTCAAAATGACAATATTATAGCTACAGCTGGCGAAGATGGAAGGATATTGCTTTTTGATGTCAGAGAAGCTCCTATAACAGGTAAGTATCATATTTCCAATCAAGAGATACTGAAAAGATGTCAAGTATTTATGTGTTCTTATAGGAATTTATACTTATACTTATAGTTTGTTGTTTTTATTAAATTACTTTTATTGGTTGCAAGTTCTCTATTATGTCTATTACGTCTTTATACAGTGTAGGTCATAATAACATTCATTTTTGTTTTTTAAATAAAACCACGAAGAGTCACGGTTTGGGCAGCAATATCAGCTAGCAGTTTTATTTGTACTCTACGTTTTCTAGAATGATCGCGGGCTGTAACTGTTAATTGAGAACGAATGCTGACAGTTTTTGGCCCTAAGGCTCCAATATTTTGTGATATCGAGGGGATGTGACATTAATTGGCTACCACAAAGCCCTGACTTCATCACCCGATTTCTTTTTATGGGGATATCTCAAGAGTCGAGTCTACAATGATGATCCAAAAACCCTCAACGAATTAAGAGACGAAATGGTGGCAATCTCAAGAGCAACTTGCAGGCTCGGAGATCTGGAGGCCATCTTGATGATATCATTTTCAAAACATAAATTGTCAACGTTAGCAAACTCTTCTACGTACAACCTGCTTTCATTTACATTGTTTTCAAAAGTGAATTTTATTATTATAACTGGACCTTTTTTTCAGAAGCACAAACGCTAGCTCAACAAAATAGTGGTTTTCACTCGGTTATGTTCAATCCGACGAATCCTCGATTTTTGGTAACTGCCAATGCTGACGAGGGAATTAGCTTGTGGGACTGCAGGAAACCAAAAAAGTAAGTGGCATCATTATTTGATACTTCGCTACATTTCTCGTTATTATTAATTCACTTCAATTAAATAAATAATAATATTTATTGCTAAAATAAAATAAAAGTATATTCAATTCTTTATTTGTGTTAAGTACACCAGCGTGTTTACACAAGTCAAAAGAAAAACAAAATTAATACAAAAAAGCAGTCTGACAAAAGACTGATGTTCAAATTACACAGAAAAACATCAACTTATGACATTATGATTCAATAAAAACAGATACAGTCCATAAAAGTTGTAAAAACAGGACATATATACGTACATAGATACACGCATATTCATTTAACCACAATATGTTTACTTCTACACACACACACACACGCGCACACACTTATATACACACATATACGTTAAAATGGTAAGACATATGAAATGTTGATATAAAAATTTACCAGATGACTTAGTAGCAAGTTCAAGGAGCCTAGAGGATCCCAGGTGTAGGAACACTGTTGTATTTGCTAACAATCCGACAAGTCTGAAAAATTGTTGCTCAAATACTCGTTGATCGAGTAAAATGCTTTAGTAGTCAGATAAGCATTAACTTTATTTTTAAAAACTTTCGCATCCAGTTTCTTTATACGGTCTGGCAACAGGTTATAAAAAACTATCCCATAATAGTTTGTGCCGTTCCTGGTGGTTTGGAGACGGCTATGAGGTACTAAGATTTTATCCATATTTCTGGTTCTATAACTGTGGACATCACTGTGGGTAGTATATTGGCTCAGATTAGTCTTTATATACATCAGACATGTGAAGATGTAAAGAGAAGGTACTGTCATGATTTTCAATTCTATAAAAGCTTCCTTGCAAGGTTCCGTGTATTTGAGGCCAGCAATGTACCGCAAGCAACGTCGTTGTAATCCAAAAACTTTTGACGAATGGGCCGAGTGACCCCAGTTTAACAATGCGTATGAAATTCTTGATTGAAAGTAGGAATAATATGTTAGAAGAAGAACTGACTGAGAGACATTTTGTTTCAAGTTCCTTATCAAATATATATATTTTGCTAGTGCATTGAGAACATGGATTACGTGAGTTTCCCACGACAAGTGTTCATCAAGGTAGACTCCTAGTAACTTCACGGACTTTAGTGTCGTGCTGCCTCAAGCTAAGAATAATCATCTGAGACTTGGTTTCATTGATGGTCAACTTATTAGCGGTTAACCAGTTTGCTAGTTTTCTTTTATGAGCTTTAGAGTCGAATATCAATGAGGCTAAAGAGGCATTGCTATTCATCAAGGTAGTGTCATCAGCGAATAGGATTAAGTTATTATTCACATTATAATTAGTTATATCATTGACGTAAATTAAAAATAAAATAGGTCCCAATACCGAGCCTTGCGGTACCCCGTGAGCAGCGACTAACTGTGAGGATGATGAACCTTTAAAGAATACAAATTGGCGTCGATTACTCAAGTAAGATTTAATCATTGCAGTGGATGTTTCATGAAAGTTATAAAAAGGGAGCTTTTCCAACAGGATGTCGTGTTGAACACAATCAAAAGCTTTGGACAAGTCCAACAAACATGCTGGGCCATATAGGTTGTTTTCAAAAGTCTCGTTCACAAACTGAATAAAACTGTTAATAGCTGATGTGGTGGAACTATTTTTCCTAAAACCCAACTGTGTTCAGCAAAATAGATTATTAGCCTCAAAGTATTCATTAATTTGATCTTTCAACAATAATTCCAAAATTTTCGCAAAAATAGGTATTGAGGAAATGGGGCTGTAGTTGCATAACTCTTCAGTATCCCCTTGTTTGAAAATGGGTATAATTTTAGATAGTTTGAAAAAATCCGGAAAAGTATTACTTTCTATACACTGATTGAATAACTTGGTTAGAGGATATATGATGAGATTTTGCAAGGTTTTGACAATCCTGACAGTAAAGCCATATGGGTCAGTACTCTTTGAGTTTTTTAGTTTATTTATGGCAGTTCTCACATCATGATATGAAACTTCCCTGAATCGAAAGTGTGAACTATGAGTAGGATGATTCATATAATGCGATGGAGAAACATCGGATGGGGTAATTTTATTTAAAAGTTTTTGTGCGATATGGGTAAAAAAGTCGTTGAATTGATGTGCTGTGAGAGATGTTGAGGAGTCCTGGTTGTGCACGTTCGGTTTAACATTCTTTATGATATTCCATGCAGCATGTTGTCTGTTGTTGGATTTATTAATGTAGTCATCATTGGCTTTAATCTTAGCTTTGACAATTACTTGTCTGTAACTGTATTTAAATTGTTTCAAGCAGTCCGTACTAACTAAAGTAACATCGTCTTTATGAAGCTCTGTTAGGAATGTCAAAGTCTCTCATATTTCTTATATGATCATTAAACCAATACACATTACAGGAGCTTTTATTATCATTAACAAGTCGCGATTTTATAGGAAGATGTTGATTGACCGAAATTCTTTTTCATAATGAATATCAAAAATTAATCGAGAGTCAACAAATACCCCCAGGTATTTAAAATTTTCTACGAATTCAATATCTTCACCATCAATATTCAGTTCAACATTTGTGCATTGTTTTTTCTGATTAACATAGCTTTCGTTTTACTTGTATTTAATTTTAGTCTGTTAGATGCTAACCATTTTGAGACAAGTTTAAAGTCTTCATTTATATAAGAGATACCAGTCTGAACATTTTTAGTACTTATATAAATCATAGTGTCATCGGGGAAAATCTGAATTTTGCATTTTTTTACTCTGGCAGGTAAATCATTTATGTATGAAATAAAAAGAAGTGGTCCCAGGATGCTGCCCTGTGGAACACCCAACGTATTTTCAATTTTTGATGAAATAGTGTCATTAACTTTTGTAACTTGCATCCTTTTAGACAAATAATTTCTAAACCAATCTAAAACACTTCCTGTTATACCATATGCCTTCAATTTACCTAACAAAATATCTCTATCAATCGTTTCAAATGCCCTCTTCAAATCCAAAAATACTGCTATGACAACTTCTTCTGAGTGTATGGCTCTTCTCCAATTCTCAGTTACCAACTGGAAAGCCGTTTCTGTGGAATATTTTTTTCGAAAGTTTGCTTGCGCCTCCACTAAAATTTTGTTTTCTTCTATAAACTGCATTAATTGGTCATGCACTATGGACTCTAATAATGTTTCAATATCTGGTAACACATTTACTGGTCTCATATCGCTGCATCTTTTAGAATTTTTTATTTTGGGAACTGGTGTTATAGTAGAGCTTTTCAAATTTTCAGGAAAAGAACCGCTTCTCAGTGAACAATTGATCCAATTTACTATAGGATATCCCAAAATTTCGAAACAGTTTTTCAGCACGTTTTTAGTAGTGATTTCGGCACAGTTGTTATTTGATTTTAAACTGTTTACCTTTTTTTCTTAGATCATTATACGCTATGAAATTTTGAAAGTGTATGCAACACTTCCCCCTGGAAACTGATTTTCATATAGTCAGGTGCAGCATTGGCAGTACCCACATTATCAACAATACTTTCCACAATAGACCCAAAAAACTTTCGCAGGAACTTGTGCTTGGGCATGAGCTCATATATGTATAACTTAACACTAAATTGTATATGATGGTACGCAGTTCAAAAAAATATAACATCTAAACTAATGATTAATGGAAATTAACAACTGCTCTTTCCAAACGAAGTCCGTCCATCTGGCAACGTCGTGTCGCCTGTCATCGATATCTAAAAGCACAAGCAATGTTGCCGAACCTACCAATTTTTCGGTATTTCTACAGAAATGAGACCTTATTTACCAAAATACCGAACACGTTCTCATTTTACACGATTTTCTGAAATATACTAAGTGACATATAATAAATCCGAACACCCAGTTTAAATGGTTTTATTTTAATAAAAGTTGGTGAATGTATTTATCTTACTGTAAATAACAAGAGAAAAAATTTTCAGCCTTATCAGTTGGACATTCCGGTTTTTATACTGCTTTTGTTTAATTCACTAACGCTCTAAAAATGAATATTTCAGCCGCAGTAAAGAATCAACGTTGGCGGATTTTGGTTCTTGACATCCTTTACGATCGGTTACGATGCCTAGAGTACGAAGACCTGTACGATTTCGTCAACTTAGTGAGTTTGATAGGGGCCGTATAGTGGGACTTCGGGAAGCTGGACTTTCTTTTCGGCCAATTGCAGTTAGAGTGCAAAGAAGTGAAGACACTGTGGTTAGGTGTTGTCAGGCATGGCTTCGAGCAGGCCGCACGCAAAGAGCAAGGGGCACTGGACGCCGCCGTAGAACAACAGACCGTGAAGATCGCCGCCTATGATTATTGGCCTTAAGGGACCGTTTCTCCACTACCAGGTCCATTGCAAATGAATGGTTTGCAGAACACAGAAGACCTATTGGCATGCGAAGTGTTTACCGACGAATGAGAAGTTTTGGCTTGTTTTCATACCGGCCACACTGGGTCCTCCCTTTAACTCGAGAACACCGACGTAATCGCCTTGAGTGGTGCAGACAACGGTCACTCTGGGATCAGGAATGGAACAGTATTGTCTTTAGTGACGAGTCTCGATTTTGTTTAGGCATGCACGATGGTCGTGCCAGGGTTAGAAGGCGACGTGGTGAAAGGAGGAATCCACAGTTTTTTGTTGAAAGACATGTTCATCACACTGTTGGAGTTATGGTTTGGGGTGCTATAGCTTATGGTTCCAGGTCACCTTTAATCTTCATCAGAGGTAACATGAACGCGCAGCGTTATATCCACGAAGTTCTAGAACCCCATCTTTTACCCTATCTTGACACCCTGGCAGATCCAACTTTCCAACAAGATAATGCCCGACCACATGTTGAAAGAAGTCTATTGTGACTCTTGAAACATGTGGTCGGGCATTATCTTGTTGGAAAGTTGGATCTGCCAGAAACATTGTTACCATGGCCACCAAGATCTCCCGACTTATCCCCAATTGAGCACGTGTGGGATATGATGGGTAGGAGATTGCTCAATTTGCAACGTCCTCCTCAGACTCTAGAAGCACTTCGAGAGGAGTTGGTGGTTGCCTGGAATGAGATACCACAGGAGGATATTGACCACCTGATCAGAAGCATGCCTAGGCGCGTTGGAGAATGCGTAGCACATCAGGGTGCATCCATACATTATTAAAGGTCAAAGGGCCTTAAAGCAGTGCAATCATTTTGAAATTTTTATCATTTACTTATTATGCTTCATTAAGTACTTATACAAAATTTTATTAAAATAAAACCATTTAAACTGGGTGTTCGGATTTATATTTCACTTAGTATAGTTCAGATATTTACAAATTTTTCACCGAAAATTGTACATCATCTTGTGAACCACTTGACCAAGAGATTATGAAGAGTTTTAAAACTTATTACCAAAGTCTAATACTCAAACACCTTCTAAAGTCAAAATCACGAAAGATGACTATTACGTCATACCATAAATTGTACTGAAGTAATCAATAGACGTACGTCGATGATAAAATCACGAGTCAGAAACATAATAACAACAAATTTATATTATGATTTTGGGAAGTTAGGTTATTTCACTAATTATTTTTATTTTCATTTTATTTCATGGTTTTTAGTGATACCTTGATAATAATTTTAGTGGGGAGCTTTTGTTTTGAAAAAAACAGTTATGAGTAGAATACCTTAAGACAGGAACACTAAAGACCAAAGTATTATTCGAAAAAAACATAACCTGCTTTAACATAACCTAACTATTCATCTTTCAAATATGATCGATCATGCAACATGAAAACTTCGTCTATCTTTGTTGGATACATGCAAGTTAGCAAGACAGTTTGTTTATACAATAAAATTATGTTGGTCTCTGTCTAACATATCAGAAACATCATTAAATATATTCACAAATCGCTGTCGTTTGTCTTTACTACAGACTAAAATGATGACGTAATCGTCATCGTTCGTGATTTCGACTATAATAAACATTGAACCTGCTGTTACGCCATTGGATGCAAGTTGTTTGGCAAAAACCGGTTGGGGCCAAGTAACTAAAGAAACAGTGCAAAATTGCTTACACAAAGCAGGATTTAAGCACGAAACAGATTCAGGCCAAGAAATTGAAAATCCAGTTGAAATACAAGAAATATCCGAACATTCTGATGTCGACGAGGTTCCAGTATCAACAGAAGCTATTCCAAATTATGGTAAAGCTTATTACCCTGACCAAGCAGCTCAAAAGCTTAGTCGAAAATCAGGGAGATACAAAGTCAAAAATTCTTTCTAAAATAGAAATACGATTTCCAGACGCCATTTAAAGAAAAAGAGGAGACAAACGACTATATATGAATTTTTGATAGTCTTTATTCTGTTGTTTTGTGTTACTACATATATGTATGTACATACCTATTATATTATACATATGTATGTGCATACTTTTTATATATACGGGGTTTTAGGGAAATAATATTCCTTGCATTATTCTAAGCAAAAAGTTCATTATAACTTATGTCCGAAAATCAATCGTTTTCGATGAAAGTGAGTAGTAAATAATTAAATATTCTCAAACATTTGGCAACGCTGCAACGCAACCGCGATACGAGCGCACGACGACTGCATCTGATTCATCGAATTGTTTACGTTTGTATGATGTTTTTGTTGAAAATATGCCTTGAATTATTGAATACTTTTACGCAATTTTTTGTTGCTAATATTTTTTATTTAACAACGCTTTCAGTACAGTACAATTACTCAAAAAAAAATTACAGAACTTATCACTTATTTGAAACGATGCGATGCACGAAAAAAGATAAAAACATACGAAAATCACAAAGTTACAGTTAAATGTATTAGTAATCACAACAACATGCGATGATACATGCAGTGCAGAAGGAGTACGACGTTGTCAGTTGTGTGAAAGATTTTGTTTGTCTGTTTTTCTTCGGAAAATTGTATTTAATAAGCAAGAAAATTATTTTGTTCGAGACAGTTAATTAATAAATAGATGTAAGGTAAGTGTCTTGGCATTACTGCCGCGTCGGGGGAGACGACGTTGCCAGATTGACGGTTCTACGGGCAGGTTGGGGATATAATGTCTATGGACTAATTGTATGGTCCTGTTTGACTGACCTGACCTGTTTAATTTTTCTGTTATACATAATTCTTTCTGTATAGTTCAGTGTCAACCTATTTGGCGTCATTCTTTAAAAATTGAATAGTGATTGAAGCGGACTATCAACGTTCGTATTGTTGGATGTCAATACAAAGCGTAATTTTCAGCGAGCTGGTTCGCTACGACTCTCAGGGAGGAAAGACTAGCGGAATCAGTGCCGGTTTCGACACGAGCGGCAAACGGGTTGTCGCTCTACGCCGTCGGCTGCCGCCGGTACTATATGCCACCGAGTCGGAGCATGCGCTCTGCCAGTTCTACCATCCGCAATACTACAACTCGTGCACCATGAAGACGTGCTGTTTCGCAGGTGCCAACGATGAGTATGTCCTCAGCGGATCGGATGATTTCAATTTGTATATGTGGAAGGTGCCCAATGATAACAGTGAGTACTTGAAATTTCGTTACCGTCGCGAATCAAATATATGGCGTCAGGGCGCCGGCGAAATTAATTTCAATGGTCGAAATTCTATTAGAATCAGGGTCGGATGCACCCAGACAATGTTGCCATCTACACGCAGTACCATGCCCTAGCTGTGTAATGTTGATGATAACATAATGTATGTACGAGGTCTGTAAATTAGGTGATGAAACTGATTTTTTTTTTAAATTTTTTAATTCAAGTATAATTACAATTTTATATTTTCACCCTCAAAATAACTTCCTTCTGAACCCTTACAACGCTGGAGACGCTTCTCCTACTCCTCATAGCAGTGCTGGAACTCCGATACTGGAATAGCCTTCAGCTGGTCGGTTACAGGTTTTCGACTGTCCCAAAATGAGTTCCATTGAGGTGATTTTTCAACTTCGGGAAGAGAAAAAAGTCACAAGGATTCAAGTCAGGCAAATAAGGAGGCTGATGAGCCACAGAAATGTTTTTACTGGTCAAAAACTCGTTTTTCACATTGCTGTCTGACAAGGAACTTTTCGTGATGCAACACCCAGGTGATCTGATGAACGGTAGTGTGAGTCGAATTTAACCCTTCACCGATCATTCTGACTGTCAACCGATGATCTCGATATTTTTATCGGTTCTTGAAGATGAAGGCCACCGATAAACCTGGGCTTTTGTCAGCTGCTCGAGTGAGTTCAAACTTGTCCTGAATCATGGATCACATGTTCCCCTATCTCCCCTCCAAGCCAGGCGTCTCCAGTGTTGCCAGATCGAATTCTACGTTGCCAGTCTCATCGCTCAATTTACAGACTTCGCACGAAGCTCACTGTTAATTTTTCAGGTGAATGGGGTACCTCCCATATCGTACTCAGAGGTCATAGGTCAATAGTAAATCAAGTTAGATACAACAATCACAACCATTTACTAGCATCTTCAGGAGTTGAAAAAATGGTGAAGGTAATTGTTTTCAAAATAATCCACAGCTTTCGGAAATCATTAGGATATTCAATAATTATTATCGATAAGTACAAACGAGTAGGTGTGAAAAAACCTAGACTAAACATACAAGAACTTCAGGTTTGTTTGTTTTGATGATTTATTTAGCATAAATGCTTCAATGTCAATTTTATATAATTATTTTTTTACACATTTTTGAATGAAGCTTCTGTTATTTTACACGCTCTTCTACTACATCTACAGGGTGTTTTAGTTTATTGTTGCATAACTTTAATATTCGATAAAATAGTTTTTTTTTAAATATTTTGAACAATATTTGATGTATAACAGTGAAAATTGGTATACAAGGGTTTTTTGGTACGACAAAACGAACCATGGGCATCGTTTTACTGTAGCCGCTAGAGGGCGCTCTCTACTGTACCCGTAGTGTATTAAAATGACCGAAAAATATTTCTTAGTGCAATTTTTTGCTTTTTGAATAAAAAAACTAATTCTTCGCACTTTTCAACATAAAAAAGCTCTCTTGTGAATTTTCGTTGTAGTTAGCCGTTTTTGAGATATTTCGATTTTTAAGGTTCGATGCATTTTTAATTATTTATGGGAAAATAATATTTTTTTTTACATTTTCGATTTGGGCATTACAAGTAATCAAGATGATCGTTTAGATTGTGTTTTTAAACACAGCAATAATTCCTAACTCCAAATAAACACAAAAAAGCAGAATATTAATTTGTTTAATTTTCCAATATTATTTTTAACAAATTAAATTAATTATTTACAACTAAAATGCTATTGGATAGTTAGGACAAACTACAAAATCTAGGCCTTATTTCGTCACATACATTCCTGATTCTGTCTATTAGCATATCTCTTGTGGTTACGGGAGTCTGGTACACTTTTTCTTTTGGAAATCCCCACACAAAGAAATCTAATGGATTTAGGTCAGGGGATCGTGGAGACCAGACTGGTCCTCCACGGCCGATCCATCTTTCTGTTCGTCCAGCCAGTTTCTAACTATTCTCGAATAATGAGCTGGACAACCATCAAGCTGGAACCAGGCCAATCTTCTTAAATCTAACATAACATCATCCCACATATTTGCATGTTCAGCCTTTAAAAATTCCAAGAAGGTCGCAGCATTTAACCTTGCAGGCAAAAGGTAGGGCCCAAATAGTCGATTACGGTAGATACAAATCCACACGTTCACACTAAATTCATGCTGAAAATTTCTTTCCCGAACTGCATGCGGATTTTCATGCGACCAAATATGTTGAGTATGAAAATTTACCACTCCACGTCTAGTGAAGCATGACCCATCGGTCCATAAAACGTTACTTAAAAACTCCCTATTATTATCAGTTCTATCAAGAATCCACTGACAAAATGTGATTCTTCGTTCTCCGTCCCCTGGCTGTAGTCCTTGCACAGGTTGCAAATGGTAAGGACGTCTATGGTCATTTCTAAGAACACGGTGAACTTGGCTTGCTGAAATTCCCAAGGCACCAGAAACTCTCCTAACACTTGTGGTCGGATCTCTATCAAACTCACGCAGAATCATATGGGTAAATCTGCGCTGACGAACATTTATGCTCTGATCCCTTTGGAGATTTTCAAAACCATTTTCAATTATTTGGCGATGCACTCTTACAAATACTGAGCGAGTTGGATGTCGTCTGTTTGGAAATCTTCGTTGGTATTCTCTGGCTGCTTCTGCTGCGTTTCCATTTACAAAGCCATACACAAAATGAATATCTGCTAACTCTTGATTGGAGAATAAAAATGGCATTTTTATAAAACTTACAAAAAAAAGCAGGTAAAAGAAACTAAATTTCGTGCATTCACAATTGCAAAAAAACGTTTCAGGTTTCAACAGACAACAAAACTAACTGTCAACTAATTGACGTTTAACCTTATTTTGCTTTCAATTTCAAAAATATTTGCAGGCACAGCCTACTTCTAAAAATTATCGAGATACTGACTTTTTAACACTATTTTATCATGAATAATTAAAAATGCATGGAACCTTAAAAATCGAAATATCTCAAAAACGGCTAACTATAACGAAAATTCACAAGAGAGCTTTTTTATGTTGAAAAGTGCGAAGAATCATTTTTTTTATTCAAAAAGCAAAAAATTGCACTAAGAATTTTTTTCGGTCATTTTAATACACTACAGTACAGTAGAGAGCGCCCTCTAGCGGCTACAGTAAAACTAAGCCCATGGTTCGTTTTGTCGTAAAAAAAAACCTTGTATACCAATTTTCACTGTTATACATCAAATATTGTTCGAAATATTTAAAAATAACTTTTTTAAAAAGTAAATTTAAACACCCTGTATTTTGGAAGCCACGCATTTTGCGACCCATGTTTATATAGACTTTATGCATTAATTTTAAAAGTTCTATCGAATCTTAAAGTTATGCAACAATAAACTGAAACACCCTGTATAATTACATCGCCATGCATTTTGGGTATTCATAAAGTGATTTTTCAATTCTACTTTGAACACTTTTAAATTCGGATACTGTTGAATTTCATATAATTTCCTCCCTTTTGAAATACATATTTGCTAGTTATGCTACTAATGATGAAAATATTTACTGCTTCTAGGGTCATAGTTATGATAATGATTGTTTACTTTTATGAAGTTTTCTAAATGTGGTGGTAAAAATTATGTTTTAATTTGAATATGAAAATTGAAACTAAATAAGATACTTTGTTAAATTCAAATACTGCAGTTCTTCTAACATAGAGTTGATGTTTTTATATAAAATGATTCTCACAGCTTTGCTTTGTAGAATTTGTGATTTAGAAAATATGTTTTGCAGTAAACAAAATAGTTGAACAACATAAAAAATGCGGAAAACTATGGTGTTATACACAGTTTTTTTAGAATGCATACTGAGATTATGGCAAACTCAATAGAAGTAATTTATCTTATTTAATATTTTTGAAGTAATGTATTCATAGTGCTGAAGCTGCAATATTGCTGATCCTTTTACATCCTGTTTGATAATGGCTCAAAATATTCTTTAACCCTGATGCGTCAGCTGAAATGGAGTATTATTTCTTGACATTGATGAAACGAGCCATTTTTGAGAAAACCAGTCAATGATCAGACTACTCAATGTAGCGTCTTGTCGGGCTCAGAGTCGTACTATTCGGGGAACCCGCTGCACTGCAAATCGAAAACTATTATAACAAGAGTGCTTTTCTCAAAAACAGCTCATTTTATCGTAAGCAAACAGCTCGCTTTTTCACGTTAAATGATAAGATTTTCCAAAAATATCACGTTGAACTATAATTGTACAGAGCGTACCAGCAACATTGCGTTCTAGCTGGCGATCTAAATGAGTTAATTCATTTTCTTGGACACCATCATGCAGTGTCGCAAAAAATCGTGTTTTTTTATTTATATCAATTTGTTCTGATATTTTTCTCAAATATAGCAATGATGTAGTAGTAGTAGAAAGATTTATTTAGCATATTTGGCTACATAAACAGATTAATTGTAAACAACTTAGAACTAGTAAATTCAAGCCATATGGTGTATGATGTAAATGCTGGGCAACCTATAATTGTAGATTTAACAAGTGATTTCTCAATTTTACTTTAAATTTTGTCAAAGTTTTCTGGTCTTTTATCTCCGAGTATAATTTATTATATTCAATCAACCCTTGATGGAATACAGATTTGTAGCATATTTTATACTTTTTGGTCATTAAATGGAAGTCATCTTTATTTCTGGTATTATGTAAATGATGGTCGACATTTGATGATGTTAAATTAGTTAGACTTGATGGAAATATATTATTTTTTACTTTATAAATGAATATCATTACAAGATATTTGATAAAATTCTTTACATTGAGCCATTTTAATTTGCTAAGCATTTGCCTAATTGGAGTATATTTATCTTTATTTAGTATTATTCTCATGCACTTATTTTGTAAAATTTGCAGTCTTTCAAAAATGGAATTATTTGCTAAATATAGAATAGTCGAACAGTACAAGACATTTGGAAGAATGATGGTATTATAGATAATTTTTCTGCTATATGAACTCAGACATCCAGAAACTCTCGATAAATATCCCAGTCTACTACTAATCTTATTTATAACTTTTTCATAATGAATATCAAAAATTAATAGAGAGTCAACAAAAACCCCCAGGTATTTAAAATTTTCTACGAATTCAATATCTTCACCATCAATATTCAGTTGAACATTTGTACATTGTTTTTTTTCGATTAACAAGGCTTTCGTTTTACTTGCATTTAATTTTAGTCTGTTAGATGCTAACCATTTTGAGACAAGCTTCAAGTCTTCATTAATATAAGAGATACCAGACTGAATATTTTTAGTACTTATATAAATCATAGTGTCATCTGTGAAAATCTGATTTTGCATTTTTTGACTATGTATAAAATAAAAAGAATTGGTCCCAGGATACTGCCATGTGGAACACACAACGTATTTTCAATTTTTGATGAAATAGTGTCATTAACTTTTGTAACTTGCATCCTTTTAGACAAATAATTTCTAAACCAATCTAAAACACTTCCTGTTATACCATATGCCTTCAATTTACCTAACAAAATATCTCTATCAATCGTTTCAAATGCCCTCTTCAAATCCAAAAATACTGCTATGACAACTTCTTCTATGGCTATGGCTCTTCTCCAATTCTTAGTTACCAACTGGAAAGCCGTTTCTGTGGAATATTTTTTTCGAAAGCCTGCTTGCGCCTCCACTAAAATTTTGTTTTCTTCTATAAACTGCATTAATTGGTCATGCACTATGGACTCTAATAATTTTTCAATGTCTGGTAACACATTTACTGGTCTCATATCGCTGCATCTTTTAGAATTTTTTATTTTGGTAACTTTGAAATAACTCATTTTTATTCATTTTCTCTATATTCCAAAACATATTGGTTGTCTAGATTTCTACTAAAATCATGATAATTTCTTAACTTACATTATTCGATCTATACGTTGATAAGTAAATTGCGTGTTCCTATTTCCTATCTTTTCTTGTTTAATGAAATGATGCCGGAGTGAGGAAAAGATTAAAGATTATTTAGCAATTCTGAGGACTATTTCTGTTGCCATTGATATGCTTCAAAGGACTGTAGCTGTAACACTGTGTACATGCATATACCTAGTCGATTTTTCTATTACATTGATTATTGAATATCCTGACATTTCGTAAATTATAGTCTCCTGATCTAACCTGCTACAGAGGTATATTTCATATTTCTAGCTTTGGAGTGCAATACCAATTGGAAATTGGAAGGGATCTATCATGAAAGAATACACAGATCCCACGAGGGCTATATATACGCATGAAGATTATGTTAGTCTTGTAGGAACCACAGAGGTGATAAACAGAATTTTATACAATTCTCTATATGTTTGGTGTCAATATATACAGGGTTATCCAAATTAAGTGTCCACCATTAGTAACTTTGTTATTAGTGAAAATACAAAGTTGTTTGAATTAGCAAACTAGTAGCATTTTTAACGCTGGTAAAAATGAGAAATAAAAAAAACAATTGAGAGTCGTTATTTTGATTTTTTCAGTAAAATAACATTTTTTTAAATGGAAACTCCTGTATATTATATTTTTTTCTGTTAAAGCATCAAATTTTAAACAAAAAAGCTTACAATAACTTTTCTCCTAGGTTACAAATTGTTGAAGTTATGGCCTCCAATCTGAAACAATTAAATTGTATCGACAAACTTTATTTTCAACATCAACTTATAATCTTACAAAATACAATAACAATTTTTTTTAAAGAAGATGCTCGAAAACACCACCTTGTTCTTCAATACATTTTTGGGCACGTTTTTCAACTGCTCGAACTGTCTTAAGTATGGTCCTACCATCTATCTGGGTTATCTTTTCCCTAACTGCAGTCTTTAACGCGTCAAGGTTATCGTACCTTCGCTTGTAAATTTGGTTCTTTAAGTAACCCCACAAGAAGTAATCAAGTGGGTTTAGATCTGGTGATCTGGGAGGCCACTGTATTGGGCCATTTGTTCCTATCCACTGATCATTGAAAGTAGTACTTAGAAAATGATAAGTACCTCTGGAGTTGTGGGCAGGTGCGCCATCTTGCTGAAAATGCAGATGATGTCTACTTATAAGATCCAATTCGTCTAAGAAATTAGTCAGAATTTCTGACATAAATTCCACATATCTTTCACCAGTTAGGGTTCCCTCATAAAAGAACGGGCCAACAATTTTTGAACCAATTATACCGCACCAAACGTTGAAACTGAAACGGACTTGTGGGCCTCTTGGATGTACTAACAAAAGATTTTCTCTTGACCAATAATGGTGGTTTTTTCTATTAAACATTCCAGAATTTGAAAAATTTGATTCATCTGTCCATAAAAGGTAACGAAAGTTATTTACATTTTGGCGACAGAAGCTAAGATACCAATGGCAAAAAACAAGTCTTCTCTCTGGATCCCCTGCCAAAAGCGTTTGAACTGGTCGGTACTTATACGGAATAAATTTGTATTTTTTTAAAATCCTTTGAACAGTACCATAACTGAAATTAGAGTCCTTGAGAATATCTGCTATTGAATTCTCACGATAAGCTTCAAAATATCCAATAACTGCAATTTCCGTGGCCTCGCTTATTATGAATTCTTTTTTTGCCCTTGTTTTAGCAAAAACATTTTCGTTGCCCCTAAATTTTCGATAAAGTCTCAGAAAATATCGTTCATACGGTTGAATGCGAGCGGGATATAATTCACTGTAGTATTCTCGTGCTCTCAAGGAGGATTTTCTGCACACTAAATAGCATTCTAACATATCACACTTTTCTTCATGGGAGAACATTTTTCTTTAAATTAATGACACAATAAAGCTTATAAACAAGTATTTACACTAATGTTTGACATTATTTGATTTTATCATTGTTTTCCAAAGCCTTCTAGTTGCGAGTATGTCCAGTTTAACAATTTGTCGCTTATCTTAATGCTGTCAAATCGCGAACGCCATGTTGTTTTCATAGCCGTCTTAATATTATAATACTGCAAATAATTAAAAATATTTATCGTTATTTTGACTTTATTTTTGACTTTAGCGGAAAAGTCATTATGAACTTTTTTGTTTAAAATTTGATGCTTTAACAGAAAAAAATATAATATACAGGGGTTTCCATTTAAAAAAATGTTATTTTACTGAAAAAAATCAAAATAACGACTCTCAATTGTTTTTTTTTATTTCTCATTTTTACCAGCGTTAAAAATGCTACTAGTTTGCTAATTCAAACAACTTTGTGTTTTCACTAATAACAAAGTTACTAATGGTGGACACTTAATTTGGATAACCCTGTATACTTATTTATTGTATAAAAAAACCGCGAGTCTGCTAGATAACTTGAACCTTTTTCAGAGAATAAACCATGACTATAGCGATCAGTCGACGAATGAAGATGCCAAAATGATGGCGTTCTTCGATTCCCTGATACAGAGAGAGATCGAAGGCTGGGATTCACAATCTGAGGAGTCACTTTCCAGTAATAGTGCTAGCGACGGTGAACAGGTAAATATTTCGGCAACATTAATAATCTAATGAACCAATTTCTTATGCTAGCTCAGTGTTGTCCTTGAAGGTCGCTTCGACAGTGTATGACGTGACCTGTTTGGATTCATGAAAATAATTTTGAAAAATTTGCTTTCAGGATTGGGCCAAGGTGATATCGAAAATATTCAAAAACGGCAGGCATTCGGAAGAAACGCGGAAGTTCAAAACAAATAGAATTACACAACTAATATCAAAAAAGAAAAATCGACTAGCAAAATTAGCTCACAATAAATCATCCAGTTACATTCAAAGGTGAGTATACAAAATGATATTTTTCGATGCATTTTATATATTATCAATATCTGAAAATTCGTAGATATTATTGGGCTGGTAAATCATTCTTACATCAGTTAGGTATTTTATAACCTAGTCTAATCATATTAGCAAATTTCCCCGAAATAATTGTGAAGTCTGGTGCAAATTGTCCAAGGAGGTATTCAAAACATGGACGCGTAAAATGGGTACACCAATTTTTGTGGGAGCACTTTTTATTTGGTAACAAAGAATGAGAAAACGTATATTTTGGGATTCAATCGAAAATGTTGGCAGGAACGAGAAAACTCTCCATATAAGATTTTTAGGTATTCATGAGACCTACAAAATGAGACCACACGTAAAAAGATCTTTTGTTGTTGTTTAAGATTGATTTAGCATGATTGCTACAATTACATTCTTCCAAAAAACTAAACAATTACATAACATACAGACACTCACTAAGAATTTTCATTGTCTATGAAATATTCCTTTAATTTTCTTTTAAATATCTTTAAATTACAAGTAGACTTTTTATTTGGTTTATTAAATTTAAGAAATCCTTTCTGAAATATTGATTTGCTAGTTATATTACTATTGCAATTTTGTAAATAAAAATCTATATTTCCTTTTGTATAATAATTATGGTAATGATTATTCAATTCTATATAGTGTCCTAAATGTTCTGGAAAAAGATAATAATAATAATAATAGACGTCTTTATTTGTCCACAATTACATTGTAGTATAGCCAAATGTCAGACTTACATGGCGAAGTTTAGCATGCTGCTACTCTTACACTTAAATATATAGTCTCTAGCAGATGTTCAAAAGAATACACTATCCACAAACAGATTTGGTTCATTACATCGAAAGTAAAATTTGAAAAAAAAGAGAAAAAGGCATACTTTCCAAACCCAAATGCACCAAAAAATTATTAATCTGAATTAAAGATGGAATAAAAAAGAAATGGATGATTACGTAAATTATATGTTTGGAGGGTTGAGTAATAATGTTTTAACTTTTTGTCGAAAGACAGGTAATGAAAATTCTTTATATACTTTAGGAAGGTCATTATAAATAATACCAACATTGTAAGAAAAACTGCGTTTAAAAAGTGTAGACGTATGCAGGGGTATTCTAATATTATTTTCTCTGAGAGTTCGACAGTGAACATCATTATTAAATGAATTTTTTTCTTCAAGTAATAAGGTTTAGACGTGAGCAGCAATTTGTGAACAAAAACTGAATAGTGATACTTGACCATGTCATTAATTTTTAACCAGTTTAGAACGGGATATTTCGCTGATACATGATCAAATTTACGTAAGCCAAAAATGAATCGTATACAATTGTTTTGAATAACTTGAATAGCGTTTTTAGTGAAATTGTCTAAACAAGTATAGTATACGATATTACAATAATTTAGTATAGATATGACCAATGCTTCGCATAGTTTTTTACGCAACTTAAAATTTAGTAAATACCTGTTTGCTATAAGAGTGCGCAGCCGTAGGTAGGTTTTCTGAGATAGACTTTTAACATGTTCAATAAACCTTAATTTTGTATCAAAAACAACATCAAGAATTTTTGCAGAATCAGAAAATTGCAAGATTTAGTTATTTATCTGAATGTTCAAGGCTGTGTTACATCGTATGTTTTTCTTTGTGCGCAAAATAATAACATTTTAGATTTTTGTGGTTTAATAAGTAAATTGTGATCTAAAGAGTATTTAATTAATTTATTAACATCGTTTTGTAAAATTTGAGTAGTATTATTGACATTATCTGGGTTAAAATAATGAAGCAATTGCGTATCGTCTGCAAATGACTGGACATGAGAATTATCAATACTTTTGCTTAAGTCGAACGTATATATGAGGAACAGAAGCGGCCCCAATACAGAGCCCTGAGGTATGCCTGAGGGTATTATTGTCACTTGAGACATTTCTTGATTGAGAAAATCACACTGAGTTTTTTGATGAAGGTAGCTGTCGAAAAATGAAAGGGATACACTGTCAAGACCTATGTAATTTAATTTAGCAAGTAATAATTTATGATTGCTGCTGTCGAAGGCTTTCGAATAGTCTATAGAGATTAAGGCTAGTGTCACTTTCTTATCTAAGGCACTTAAAATATTGTCTCAGATTAAGTAGGGCAGATGTTGTACTATAATTTTTTCTAAATCCGGATTGAGTGTCGGGAAGTATAAAGAATTTTTCTAGGTAAGCGGTCAATTGGAACTTTATAATTTTTTCTAAAATTTTGGATAAAATTAGTAATAAACTGATAGGTCTGAGATCATTATACTCAGTGGGTTTCATTTTTTTAGGAATTGAAATAATTAGAGCTTGTTTCCATCTGTTTGGAAAGTAGCCTTTTTCCAAACAGTCGTTAAAGATGTGGACGATGTGATGGAGAATATGATGATTTTTTATTTTAAATATAAAAATAAGAACCACTGCAATTCTTGTAACATAGATTTTATTTTGGTGTACTTATTTTATTTGTACCAAATTTTTGACAAAACTTGGCTAACACTATGCCCCAAAGAATTTCAGCCGTAATAAAAAATAAAGGTGATGTTACCCAATGGTAATCTTTCAATTGTTGCTTTGTTAACTTCGCGCATTTATTCGCACATTGTTTATTTGTTCAGATGGTCTATCAGTTATAGGTCTAAGTGATTTCAAATATGTATTTTTTACGACTAGAGACAAAATGTTTTTGAGAAAATAAATTGTTTTATAAGTAAATAGTTTCGTCATGTTTAGTTTATAAAGGCATATTTTGGTTCAAATCTTGAAGTGGGCCAACTGAAGTGGGAAGGGGCTCGTATGTATACAGGTTGGTGTATTAATAAAACAAGTTAAAAAAGAAATACAGCACAATATTAATTTGTCTATATACTTTTGTCCATTACAGATATTTTAATGATTCGACTACTTCAATTTTTTCATTATTAATCATGAGGCTAATTAAACTGTCACCTAAATGTTTCTCTATTAGCATACAATTTATTTTATTAGTGTTTATAGTTTATTAACCAGTACATACTTTTTGTATTGTAAATAAATATCAATTGAACTTGAAGATCACCATTAGGACGGAAACGTCGTTCAATAAAGAGGAGTTTTAAACATCGTCAGTTAATCATATCTTCTATAGTGAAACCATATCCTACTGACGTAATTACGAGAGAGAAGAGTGCAATATGCGTGTTAGAAACAGAAGAAGCTCCTCGTTGCCTAGCAACCCGAGTGACCAGGCCACGGACGCCATCGGCGCACTGTTTCTAACATATACTAAGTGACATATAAATCCGAACACTCAGTTTAAATGGTTTTATTTTAATAAAACTTTGTATAAGTACTTAATGAAGCATAATAAGTAAATGATAAAAATTTCAAAATGATTACACTGCTTTAAAGCCCTTTGACCTTTAATAATGTGTGGATGCACCATGATGTGCTGCGCATCCTCCAACGCGCCTAGGCATGCTTCTGATCACGTGGTCAATGTCCTCCTGTGGTATCTCATTCCAGGCAACCACCAACTCCTCTCGAAGTGCTTCTAGAGTCTGAGGAGGACGTTGCAAATTGAGCAATCTCCTACCCATCATATCCCAGGTCCCTAGTCGGAAGATCTTGGTGGCCATGGTAACAATGTGACATCATTATGTTGAAAGAAGTCTATTGTGACTCTTGCAACATGTGGTCGGGCATTATCTTGTTGGAAAGTTGGATCTGCCAGGACGTCAAGATAGGGTAAAAGATGGGGTTCTAGAACTTCGTGGATATAACGCTGCGCGTTCATGTTACTTCTGATGAAGATTAAAGGTGACCTGGAACCATAAGCTATAGCACCCCAAACCATAACTTTAACAGTGTGATGAACATGTCTTTCAACAAAAAACTGTGGATTCCTCCTTTCACCACGTCGCCTTCTAACGCTGGCACGACCATCGTGCATGCCTGAACAAAATCGAGACTCGTCACTAAAGACAATACTGTTCCATTCCTGATCCCAGAGTGACCGTTGTCTGCACCACTCAAGGCGATTACGTCGGTGTTCTCGAGTTAAAGGGAGGACCCAGTGTGGCCGGTATGAAAACAAGCCAAAACTTCTCATTCGTCGGTAAACACTTCGCATGCCAATAGGTCTTCCGTGTTCTGCAAACCATTCATTTGCAATGGACCTGGTAGTGGAGAAACGGTCCCTTAAGGCCAATAATCTTAGGCGGCGATCTTCACGGTCTGTTGTTCTACGGCGGCGTCCAGTGCCCCTTGCTCTTTGCGTACGGCCTTCTCGAAGCCATGCCTGACAACACCTATCCACAGTGTCTACACTTCTTTGCACTCTAACTGCAATTGCCCGGAAAGAAAGTCCAGCTTCCCGAAGTCCCACTATACGGCCCCTATCAAACTCACTAAGTTGACGAAATCGTACAGGTCTCCGTACTCTAGGCATCGTAACCGATCGTAAAGGATGTTAAGAACCAAAATCCGCCAATGTTGATTCTTTACTGCGGCTGAAATATTCATTTTTAGAGCGTTAGTGAATTAAAAAAAAAAGCAGTATAAAAACCGGAATGTCCAACTGATAAGGCTGAACATTTTTTCACTTGTTACTTACAGTAAGATAAATACATTCACCAACTTTTATTAAAATAAAACCATTTAAACTGGGTGTTCGGATTTATATGTCACTTAGTATACATATTGCTTATCGCTCTTCTCTCTCGTACGCATTACGATGTCGGCCAAATTTGAACCTCATCGTATATAATACCTATGGATGATGTTAATTTAGCCGCTTTTTGAGAAAGTACGATCAATTTTCAGGCGGAATAATCACCAGGAGAAGGCACAGGCACATAAAAAGAGATTAGTAAAATCGAAAGCGCTGCCTCGTAAACATAACGGTTTTCACAAACGATCCTACAGAAAAAGTTCTTCAGATAGAGAACACCGTAGGAAGAAATCTGTCAAAGAACCAAGGTCTTCCAAGTATTTCACTAGGCAGAGCTTAAGAAATGCCGGAGAACAGAATAGTTCGATAGATGCTCCTAGTACTAGTACGGGTAAGTTTGATAATTGTTCAATGGAGAGTTTTTAGTATAACAAAAGTACCGAGTCGTTAAGCCTTCCGTTATTTTTAAATAACGAATGACCACCAAAATGAACCTTGGTAAACGGTGTATGGCATCTGGGTTCTATACGGACGCAAGCGTCTGAGATTTTTTCTTGACTTAATTTTTAATAATCCTTTTGTAGAATTATGAGCAGTGTTTTGTGTTTCCTTTTAGGTATTACTAGCTCAAAGAGCGCCCTGTTCCGTCTTATAGAACAGGACTCTGACGAGGAACCAAGAAATTCAACTGAAAATGCTGAAGAGGACGGAAATACGGAAGAAGTAGTAGATCAAAATAATTTCATTAGTATCTTACCCACCCCAATCAATGGGACTAAGGATATATTGATCAATGTGTTAGAAATGGCGAATACGAATCTATCCCAAAATCAAAGGTATGTTATATTCATAGGCATAACTAATATTTATATTTAATTTGCAGTCCTTCAAAAATTGAATTAGCTAAATATAGAATAGTCGAACAGTGCAAGAAATTGAATGATAGTTTTATTGATAATTTTTCCACTATATCAACTCGCTGAAATTCTTGATAAAATCCCTAACCTTGTTTATAATTTTCTCATAATGAATATCAAAATTTAATTGATAGCTAACATAAACTCTGAGTTGTTTGAAATTTTTCACGAATCCAATATCTTCATCATCAATATTCAGTTGATCATTTGTACATTGGTTTTTTCCCAATTAATACGGCTCGTTTTACTTGTACTTAATTTCAGTTTGTTACATGCCAACCATTTTGAAACAAGTTTCAAGTCTTCATTTATACAGGGTGTCCCTAAACTCGACGTCAAGCCGGAAAAAAATTTAACTCGTGTACTTTTTAAACTATAGGCTTAAAAAAAATCAAAAAATCTACAGCCTGTGATGATATTTTAGTTCCCATTACTACAAATTTCAATTTATTCTTAGACGATGTGACAGAGAGTCATTCTATGTAGTGACAGCAAGACACATAGTAACGCCACTGTTATTAATTCACGATTGTGTAGTGTCAACTAAAAGATCGTCACAAGGTGTAGATTTTTCAATTTTTCCGATTTTTTGTTTAATGCCTATAGTTTGAAAAGTACACGAATTATATATATTTTTCTGAAAACTATTATGACTTGGCCTATTCCCGTTTCTGGCTTGACGTCGAATTCTAGGATACATTTTGAGTACTTATATAAATCAATTTTACATCATTTGACTATGGCAGATCAATCGTTTATCTACAAAATGAAAAAAACGTATATATAGTGTTTCCAATATCAAGCTTCGCAGTGTTTTCAGAATAGGGGAGCCTAAGCCTTTTTATAAGAATATTTCAGTATTTTACCACAAATATTCAAAAATAAATACAGCAGACGCTCGATAACGTAAACACGGGATAATGAAAACTTGCGCTAATGTAAACACAAACTTCGTTCTATAGGATCAAACGGAACGCGCGATAACGTAAACAATGTGTACGCTCGATAACGTAAACAACTCTCTGCGCACGGAAACAGCGCGACGGTAAAATGCTGAAGCCTCGATGATTTATGTTAGGCGTCGGGGAGTCCCCGATTTATGATGTAGAGTGTAGGGGATTCACCTCTGCGATAAAATACGACAAACTCGGTCAGTCGTATGATCGTTTATGATACGTTTATACGTACGTATGTATTTCATTTTGAAACTTAAGTGAATACATTGCACGCGTTAATATATTTTACGACTATGGCATCCACATCCTATAAAAGAAAGTGTTTAAAGTTGAGTGAGAAAGTGAAAATCATAGACGAAGTTGCACTAGGTGCGGGAGTGACACAGTTAGCAAAAAAATAAGGAGTATCGAAAGCAGCAATCTGTAAAATTAAGCGTATGAAAACTCAAATTTTACAAAGAACGTGCAATACATTTGGAGGTCCGGGAAAAAGAAAAACTTAAAAAAATGCGAAGGCACCTAAAATGGAAAATTCTCTGTATAAGTGGTTTTTAAAACAACGGGAAAATCATGTCCCAGTTAGTGGCGAAGTACTTAAACAGAGAGCGAGACTGTTATATGAAAAACTGAAAGAAACTGAAAATTTCGTAGCTAGTGATGGCTGGCTACAACGATTCAAAACAAGATATGGAATTCGACTGCTGTCTATATCTGGTGAAAAATTATCAGCACAACCACAATTACTGCAACCATTCAAAGAAAAATTGATGAAAACAATTGCCGAGCTAGATTTAAGAATGGAACAAATTTACAACGCAGATGCAAGTGGCCTTTATTGGAAAATGTTACTAGAGAAAACCTATGCTGCATCATTTGAAAAATCTGCCCCGGGAAGAAAGCCGGAGAAACAACGAATAACGTTTCTAACCTGCACTAATGCTAATGGTTCACACAAAATAAAGCCACTGGTAATTGGGAAAGCAAAAAATCCGCGCTCATTTAAAAATTTTAATATCCCTGTTGATTATGACTGTTCCAAAACCGCTTGGATGACTAGCAGTATATTCCTGAAATGGTTCCACAGGTGCTTTGTTCCTCAGGTATGACAGTCAATTATCACAAATGCTCTATTCATAATTTGAAGATGTGTTTTCAATTTGTAGGTAAAAGGTTTCCTAAAACAACAGAAGCTTCCAATAAAAGCGTTGTTACTATTGGATAATGCACCAAATCATCCTCCCGAGCAAAAACTGAGGAGCAGGGATGGGTCAATTTTCGTCATGTACACCCAATGTAACACCGTTAATTCAACCGATGGACCAGAATATAATAAGACTCACAAAACTATACTATAGGAAGTTTCTACTTTCGTCTGTCTTATCAAAGGATCCTGAAAACTTATCTGAGGCTTTTAAAAAAGTAACATTACGAGAAGCTGTTTTAGATTTACATATGGCCTGGAATGAGCTTAACCAGCAAACTATTCAAAAATGTTGGAACAATCTCTTTTGTGCCAATAATGAAGATGATGAAGAAGACGACGTCCCCTTAAACGTAATTAGAGAACGTTTGCAATCCAATAATGATAATGCTATTAGTGTGTCATTGGATGTTGTTGATTTATTGAAAACAGTGAATCCCAACATTGTTTGTACTCCTGCTAATATTAATTTATGGAACGAAGATAAGCAGACGAATGATGCTGATAAGGAGGAGGATTTGGTCAGTGAGGATGATGAGAACGATTCCATTGAAGTCAGAAGTGTAGTGACTGACGAGCAAGCTAAACAAGTTTTTAACCAAGCTTTAGATTGGGCTGAAAGAAAAGAAGTTTCATACACGGATATTTTAGTTCTTCGTAAATTACGGGCGCAGGCATTGGAAGACAATGCTAAGCGCAAATTTACACAGACAAAAATTGTTAATTATTTTTCTTCTAATTAAAAAAATACTTATCGCTGTTAGAATATTTGTTTATTTTGCTATAAATAGTATGTATTAAACGTTTCTTTTAATAAATCAAATATTATATAAATCACGTTCGCTAATGTAAACATTTCGATAATGTGAACCACACTTGGATTAAATTAGTTTACATTATCGAGCGTCTGCTGTATCTAAGCGTTCTATCAAAAATTCCTTAAGAGTCAAAGTTCATGGAAAATTGAATGGTATTTTAATGAATGCACTACTTTCCTCCGAAAAGGTCAGTGGCATTCCTATTGGGGGTCCAGGTACAACAGTTTATACTTTTTGGTTTAGTTTGGGCATGGAAGCTGAGTAATCATTGCTTATGATGTGCTGCTCACTGGACATCTAACTCCTAACTCAGTATGTTTACCCGCTCCGTAGATATAATTTTTTCAATTTCGTAAATAAAACTTCATCACCCTGTAGCTCGGTAAGTTAGCATCTTTGGACCCATATTTTATTTTTCGATGTACTTTCTATCCTAGAAAAATGGCACGTCTTTCTGAAATATCTTGTACAGGGTGCGTCATCTATTACTTTTTTTTCTATTTGAAAAATCCACACGCTTTTTACGCGGTGAAATCGATTTTTTTTTTATTGATAAATGAAGGTTATGTTATGCCATTTATGTATGAAAAATAACATCAGTCATGTGACCACCGCGGCTTCGTTTACAGGCCAACATCCGAACATCAAAATTTTCAATGACTTTTCCCAGAATAATCGGGTCTAGGGCCGCAATTTCAGTCCGAATATTGCGCTTTAGGTCTTGAATTGTCCGAGGACCATTCGCATACACTTTTCCTTTCAAAAATCCCCAATGAAAATAGTCAAGAGGTGTTAAATCGCCCGATCTCGGGGGCCAACTGACATCTGAATTTCGTGAAATTATGCGGTCTTGAAATGTCGTGTGCAATAAGGCGATTGTTTGGCGAGATGTGTGAGCCGTTGCTCCGTCTTGATGAAACCAAAGATCGTCGGCACCAATACGATCCAACTGTGGCCACAAAAAGTCTGTTAACATGCCGCGATAACGTTCCCCGTTGACGGTAATGGCCTTTTCTTCGGCATCTTCAAAGAAGAATGGTCCAACGATGCCACCAGCCCATAATCCGCACCAGTCATTTTTTCAGGATGAAGAGGTTGTTCCTGATATTGGTGTGGATTTTCAGCCCCCCAGAATCTGCAATTTTGCTTATTTAAGTACCCATTGAGGTGAAAATGAGCCTCGTCAGAAAAGAGCAGTTTGGCCGAAAATCTGTCTTCTCTTTCCAGCATCCAATTAACAAAAACACGCCGCTATTGATGGTCTGCCGGCTTCAATTCTTGTGTTAGTTGGATTTTGTATGGATGGAGGTGTAAATCAATGTCTAAAATCCGGCGTAAAGTGGTCTCACTAATTCCCAATTGTTGCGAACGGTGCCTAGTCGAGGTGGTTGGATATTCTCGCAAACTGCTGCTATATTTTGACGAGTACGAGCTGGACGAGCATCTGGTATAGTCTACGACCTTCAGCTGAACCAGTTTCTTCAAAACGATTAACAATCCAACGAATTCCAAGCTCTGTAGGGCGTCCATGTCGACCAAAACTAGTGCGAAGTTTGCGAAAAGTATTTTTTATATTTCGACCGTTTTCGTAATCAGTTTGGATAACCAAAATGCGTTGTTGTGTTGTAAACGAATCCATGACTATAAATGGCATACCTTTGACAAAAAAAAGTAATAGACGCAGGCATGCCTTTCAATTGGGTTAGACGTCAGCGGTAGTTCAAAGTTGAAGTTGTTTTGACGTTTGAGTTACACCTTTTGTAGGTAATAACGTTGTTTTTTTAAAGGTCTCATCCAGTCAGGAGGTCGCAACACCAGCAAGAGGAGGCAGCTTCGCATTCGAGCAACAGCAGTCGCCAGGCAGTAGATGACGGATTCAGCGACACCAGTGATAGCGACCTTGAATACGGACGCACCCCGAAGAGGAGATGCATCAGCGCTGCGTCAGACAGCGGCTGTTGCCCTAGCTCCAGCGCTAGCACGTGTTCCACCAGAAACGCTAGTCTAGAAAAAGGTACAGATTTTCCTTACTTTATACAGGGCGTGCCAGAAATCGGCCTCAAGCCGGAAACGGGGGATAGGATATACAGTAATGGACAAAAGTATATAGACAAAATAATATTGTGCTGTATTTCTTTTTTAACTTGTTTTATTAATACACCAACCTGTATACATAATTCGTTATAGCATAATACCTACTTATATATAAATAAATTCATTTCATTCATCCCTCCAATAAAAAATTAATTGAAAAAACTGGAACTATGAAGGACATAAATATATAGACAAAGCAAAAAAATTATAGAAAAAAGAAGCAAAGTTCATTCAATTATAGAAAACCAACCATGTTTGTGTTCATATTTTGTAGCATAACCATTATTATCAATCTCCCCCTGGCATCGTCTCGGCATAGATTGTAGAAGTTTCTTGATATAAGATTCATCAATCTGTCTCCACTTTTGCTCTACAGCGGCAAAAAGTGCATCCTTGTTTGAATAATTTTTTAAAAAATCATCTTCTACTAGAGGAAGTATAGACTTTCATTTACAAAACTGCAGTAGCAATATAACGAGCAAGTCAGTATTTCAAAAGGGATCGTACGAATTTAATAAATTAATTAATGATATCAAGATGTGTGTCAGTTTGAAAATGTTCAAAGGGACATTGAAAAAGCATCTCATGGAAAACCAGAAATCATAGTTGTAGAATTTTGTATAAAAATATGTAGTCTTGAAAACACAATATATTTTGTGATATACTGTGTAATATGGATATTGTAGAGAGCCGACAAACGCGACGCTGTTGTCAGATTTCGCGTAGCATCACGCGCGACAAAGATACAGCGTTGCGAACAATATTTTTGAGACAACCCTTGTATTTCTGTTTTGTTGCAGTGCCGTATCCGAAAACCCACCAGGCGTGTTCATCAAGTCGTGCTGCCGGCGAAAGCTCAGATGAAGAGGGCGGCCGTCGGTACGAGAAGATCAGAAGGAGAGCGAGAAACTCCAAGGCGATCGCGGCCCGTAGGAAAATATCACACGACTCTGATTCTAATTAGTGCTTTTCCATTATCTCCTTTAATCCCCTTCTTTCTTTCCCTTTTCTATAGCGCTTGCGGCGTTTTGTGTGATAGGAGTAGACGATTTTGCGCAGTGACGGTACTGCGGTCACGGCCATACACCGACACTTAACTATTTGTAAGTACAGGGTTGCAAAAAAGAACCTTGGTTTATAACATTTTATTTCAGCGATTATTAAAAAAATGGTTTAAAAAATATGCTATATCAATGCAAAATTAGGTATGAAATTCAAATTTTGAGGATATCATTCAAGGATATACAGCAGACGCTCGATAATGTAAACTAATTTAATCCAAGTGTGGTTCACATTATCGAAATGTTTACATTAGCGAACGTGATTTATATAATATTTGATTTATTAAAAGAAACGTTTAATACATACGATTTATAATAAAATAAACAAATATTCTAACAGCGATAAGTATTTTTTTAATTAGAAGAAAAATAATTAACAATTTTTGTCTGCGTAAATTTGCGCTTAGCATTGTCTTCCAATGCCTGCGCCCTTAATTTACGAAGAACTAAAATATCCGTGTATGAAACTTCTTTTCTTTCAGCCCAATCTAAAGCTTGGTTAAAAATTTGTAATGGGATCGTTCTCATCATCCTCACTGTCCATATCCTCCTCCTTATCAGCATCATTCGTCTGTTTATCTTCGTTCCATAAACTAATATCAGCAACAAACAATGTTGGGATTCACTGTTTTCAATAAATCAACATCAAATGACACACTAATAACATTATCATTATTGGATCGCAAACGTTCTCTAATTACGCTTAAGGGGCATCGTCTTCTTCATCATCTTCATTATTGGAACAAAAGAGATTGTTCCATCATTTTTGAATAGTTTGCTGGTTAAGTTCATTCCAGGCCATATGTAAATCTAAAACAGCTTCTCGTAATGTTACTTTTTTTAAAGCCTCAGATAAGTTTTCAGGATTCTTTGATAAGACAGACGAAAGTAGAAACTTCCTATAGTATAGTTTGGTGAGTCTTATTATATTCTGGTCCATCGGTTGAATTAACGGTGTTACGTTGGGCGGCATGTACATGACGAAAATTGACCCATCCCTGCTCCTCAGTTGTTGCTCGGGAGGATGGCTTGGTGCATTATCCAATAGTAACAACGCTTTTATTGGAAGCTTCTGTTGTTTTAGGAAACCTTTTACCTACAAATTGAAAACAAATTATGAATAGAGCATTTGTGATAATTGATTGTCATACCTGAGGGACAAAGCACCTGTGGAACCATTTCAGGAATATACTGCTAGTCATCCAAGCGGTTTTTGAACAGTCATAATCAACAGGGATATTAACATTTTTAAATAAGCGCGGATTTTTTGCTTTCCCAATTACCAGTGGCTTTATTTTGTGTGAACCATTAGCATTAGTGCAGGCTAGAAACGTTATTCGTTGTTTCTCCGGCTTTCTTCCCGGGGCAGATTTTTCAAATGATGCAGCATAGGTTTTCTCTGGTAACATTTTCCAATAAAGGCCACTTTCATCTGCGTTGTAAATTTGTTCCATTCTTAAATCTAGCTCGGTAATTGTTTTCATCAATTTTTCTTTGAATGGTTGCACTAATTGTGGTTGTACTGATAATTTTTCACCAGATATAGACAGCAGTCGAATTCCATATCTTGTTTTGAATCCTTGTAGCCAGCCATCACTAGCTACGAAATTTTCAGTTTCTTTCAGTTTTTCATTTAACAGTCTCGCTCTCTGTTTAAGTACTTCGCCACTAACTGAGACATGATTTTCCCGTTGTTTTAAAAACCACTTATACAGGGAATTTTCCATTTTAGGTGCCTTCGCATTTTTTAAAGTTTTTCTTTTTCCCGGACCTCCAAATGTATTGCACGTTCTTTGTAAAATTTGAGTTTTCATACGCTTAATTTTACAGATTGTTGCTTTCGATACTCCATATTTTTTTGCTAACTGTGTCACTTCCGCACCTAGTGCAACTTCGTCTATGATTTTCACTTTCTCACTCAACTTTAAACTCTTTCTTTTATAGGATGTGGATGCCATAGTCGTAAAATATATTAGCGCGTGCAATGTATTCACTTAAGTTCAAAAATGAAATACATACGTACGTATAAACGTATCCTAAACGATCATACGACTGACCGAGTTTGTCGTATTTTATCGCAGAGGTGAATCCCCTACACTCTACATCATAAATCGGGGACTCCCCGACGCCCGACATAAATCATCGAGGCTTCAGCATTTTACCGTACGCCAAGAGTTGTTTACGTTATCGAGCGTACACATTGTTTACATTATCGCGCGTTCCGTTTGATCCTATAGAACGAAGTTTGTGTTTACATTAGCGCAAGTTTTCATCATCCCGTGTTTACGTTATCGAGCGTCTGCTGTAATAGGTAACTTTTTATTGGGTGGTAGCCCGTCATTTCAACAAAATGCTAATTGGGTAAAGGTTCACTGTGCAAAATTACCTGTTTCTATTGTATCACTATGCTTACACCGAGGCTAGCTAATTCCATGGTTAACTGTCCACCCGGTGTAAACATGGCTAATGATGAACTCAAGGCTTTCCTAATGTGTTGTGAACCGCAAGCACTCTTTGTGTTTTGATTATGTTGGCGTGAAAGGTGGTAGTTTGTACATCATGCTGACTGGTGGTCTCTGATAAAGGCAGTATCGATTTGTGTTTGTGTTTTTGTCAAGTGGAATACCTGATGAGACTTAGGAAAACTTGCATATGAAATTCAGTTATTGTTGAGTCTAGAAAACACCGGACGATTATCATCTAAATATAACTTATTCATATTCTTAGCGATTTAATTTATAAATATTCAGTGTGCTAGAGTTTCAAAAAAAGATGTATTAGTGCCACGAAACAGCAAGCAAAAAACGTCAAACCACCACCTACTTTTGACTTTACTTGCCCCCGATTAGATTATTAAGAAATCCATTGTGCTTTCAGACGAAGATACCCCAAGTTAGATGCATGATTTTTTTTTCGATAAAATGAATATAAAATCTAATTGTAACATTGACTGTGAAAAATAATTGTGAATTCCACCTAATGGTTACTGACTATGCTCTGTCATTATGATTTTGGGAGCTACAGGTTGAAGAAAATCGTGTTTCTTAAGCTTTTTCCTTTGGACTGCGCTCTCACGATGAAATGTTGGAAGAGTGATCTTTTATTTCAACAAAGTCGCGAATAATCATCAGTCAGTAGCTCAGATAACCTTGTGGCATAGTATCTTCCCACTATCTTCTATATAGTTTTTTCTTTTTATGTATTCGGATATTTTTTCCTAAGTCGGTACAATTTTATATTGCATTGTTGCAACTCAACCTTATGATTTTATGTATAAAATTATGATACAAATATATTCCTAAAAATCAACAACTTTGTGCTTAAATTTCAGTATCCTGTTGCTATGAAAAAGGGCCAGTGATTTGCATAAACAACTTAAAGAATTTCCACTCGAAATGTAAACTGTTGCAGTGTTGAAGATTCATTTAGCATGATTGCTACAATTTGATTCTTCTAAAAAACTACAACAATTGCATAACATACAGCTACTTAGAAAAAGAAAATTTACATCTCTAAGAATTTTCACTGTCCAGAAAATATTCCTTTAATTTTCATTTAAACATCTTTTGTTTATATTTGTTCAATAATAAACTCAAGTAATTCTTTCTGAAATATTGATTTACTAGTTATATTACTATTGCCATTTTGCAAATGAAAATCTATATTTCTTGTATAATAATGGTGGTAATGATATTTCAATTCTATGTATAAAAAAAATAAGAGAACCAAATACGATATGAAATTTTTTTATTCAACCACTGCAATTCTTGTAACATACATTTTATTTTGTTGTATTTATTTTTATTCAATATTATTCTCACAGCTTTATGGGTCTTGTAATTTTGAGAACACAGCTTCATTGGCAGTGAACAAGATAAACTATTTTTTTGAAATAGACTTCGAAGTTGAGTCATTTATTTTAACAGTGAGTAGATCTGATCAAAAGAAATGTTTTTTTCCTTTACCATTTTTCTGGTAAAATTAAAGTAACAAAGTTATAGCCCTTTAGAAGTTTGAGTACCGCCCTGTCTCAATAATAATATTATGTGCTCGTGTTTGGCGACAACGGATATAATTCGCCTTATCGGTTCATCGCATCGGAAACAAAAAAGCGAAAGAATTTGGAACGATGTTTTTACAATTATTTCATTCAGTTGTACACAGTCAGTGTCAGTCGGTAGTGGATAGTGGTGTCTGTTGCGTGGCTCAAACGAAATAAAAAATGGCACATGTTTATGCGGATCGGTTTCCCAATCGAGTGCAACCAACCCCTCGTGCCTTTGTTAATGTAGTACAACAGGTTCGTGAATCATTTGACTTAAGACCTCACATATGGACGGCATGCCGGTGCTCCAAGACCTCACGATCAAATACAGGTCCGCACTGAAATACTTGTCGGGAGGATACTTTATAAAACAAGGTAAAATTTTTTATTTTTTTTTTTTTATTTTTACACACATATTTTGGTTTATCTTCTTTCTACAATCATTATCTGAAAATTAATGACTCAACTTCAAAGTCACCCTGTATGTACTAAGACTATGAGAAGCCCTATAAAAGCAATTATCAAAATGATGAAAATTCATTGTGATCCTCAAACTTTAGTTTACTATCAATATACAGGGTGTCCGCAAAGTTGGGGTTTTCCTTTACACGACGTGTGAGAAAATAAGTGGACTTTCTTAGTAGCATATACACCAATGTCTTAAGAGAACTGAGATACCTATTGGGCTCCGCAAACTCGCAAACCTGAACCAAACCGAAGCCGGTCCTATCCCTCGTGCACATCGCCAGCGTACGACGTACGGCTACGATGTAAATACGCTAGTATGCAACCTGACCTAGACGCCGGTAGTGTAGGTCAACAAATCATTACTTGTGAAACCGATTGCTGTTCAAAAATAAAAAAAAATGGCACACTCGTACACCAATAGCGAACTAGTCGACATGCTGTTAACTTACGGTGAGTGTCTTCAAAATGCGACCGAGGCTTCACGAGTGTATACACATCGTTTTCCCAGACGATTCTCCCGAATCGGTTGGACTGGATTTAATACCTAGACTTTTTAGAACATTTTACCAACCCTGCTACAAGATGTGCCTTTGTGTGTAAGACGATCAATGTGGTTTCTCCATGATGGTGCACCACCCCATTTTAGACGCGAAGTGCGTGAGTTCTTAAATCAGTCATTTCCGAATAGGTGGATGGGACGTAATGGACACGTGTGATTTTTTGTTTGGGGCGAAATGAAACGCTTGGTGTACAAAACTGCGGTTGACGAATTACGTCTGATAATTGAGCAAGCTGCTGCATTCATTCGGGGAAGGGACACCACTCTAAAAGCCTGCGCTAATGCTTGGCTACGTCGAGCACGCACATGGGTTTTTGAATCCAGCAGCGACGACAACTTCTAACAGTACTTATAAAATACGTTCACCAAGAAAAAGTGACACCGACGTCATATTTTCGATCTCTTTTTTGTTACGTGTGCTCCTTGGATTTTACGACAGAGCCGTACTTGGAATTCAACTGAACAGTGAGTACTTTTTCATTTATTTTTTTTTTTACTTGTTCGCTCAAAAAGAAAATCCCAACTTTGTGGAGACCATGTGTACATCTAAATATTTAATTGATTCAACATTTTCAATTACTTCACTATTCATCCTAACTGTGATAGTATTTTCATTTTTATATTTCCATATGAGCATAAATTTTGTTTTAGAAGCATTCAATTTTAATTTATTTACATTTAACCAATATATGATTTTTCCAAATCAGAATTTAACATTTTTAAAGCAGTGTCTATATTTTCAACTGATGTGTATATTAATGCTGCAAATATCTGAATTTCACAATCTAAAATATCACAAATGTCATTCATGTATGCAATAAATTGTAGTATACCTGTAGTTTACTACCATTGCGGTACAAACTAACAGAAATATTTTTGAGCTTCAATTTAGGTCTTTTGACTTCTGTCATTTAAAAAGTTCTGTATAATTTTAAGTACAGATCATTTAAATCACTAGTGATGCAATTTTGTAAGTAATTTAACTCAGTCAATAGTTTCAAACGCCCCTTTGAAGTTAAAAAACACTGTCACTGTATGTTTCGTATTGTCCATACATCTCCTCCAGTCTTCTAAAACCATTCGTAGGTATTGCCGTTTCAGCAGCAATCCGGGAAATACGTTTTACCCGCGCAAGGCGAAGTATTTTTTGAATTCGCCTTTAAAATCTGGACCATATCCGTTAATTCGATCAACAAGATGGACTGCTTCCCCGTAAGAAGTGATTGCCTGATAATCTTTTAAAGTTAATCTCACTACCTGGACTATATTCGTCCGATGATATTGACTACTCCAGTTAGAGGTATTTGCTTCATAAACTTTCAAAGTTATTCTCACTGGACATGTGCGTTAATCCATTCGAACCGCAGAAGTCAATTTAACTGGACTATATCCGTTACTCCAACTATATACTCTATTTCACGAGTATCCACCACGGTAGAATGACAGCTCATTATCTAGTAATATCTCAAAATTCCCCATATCGGCATAGGACACATAATTCTGCCGGATCCGTCAAGGCCAGGTAGTCAGAGCAGTATTTTGTTTTGTTTTTGTGTACGCTACAGATTCATTTTGTACTTGCTAACAGCTCTTTTATTTAGAAAAGTTTATTTGCATACGAAAACAAAACGCTACAAACAAGTTTTACTTAATTTTACACCCGAGTCATTGTTGCCATCGTCGCAGACTAACACAAAAATGTCGCTTGCTGATCAGCTGTTCACCTCAGTAGACGTCAAAGCGTGATGGATACTCGTGAAATAGGGTGCAAGACCACCGTACGAAGTGTTTGATAAATTTGCAGAGTTAATTTCACTGGACCATAGCCATTCGTTTGGCCTGCACGCTGTGCTGTACGGTTAGTCCAGTTCTATACTTACACTTACCGCACGTCCAACAGATGGCGGTCGATTGACGTTGACATTCCGTGTTTATGTTTTGTGGTTGATATCTGGTGAAACATCAAATCAAACATATGTTTTGTGTTTGAAACGAGGGAAATGTCTGTTGATGTTTTCATATTTTTTCGATTTCCATTTAAATACTCGGTGAAACGTTATCATGAATTTGAAGTTAAGTTCGCGAAAATCGTTGCAAGTTATTAAGTGTGATGCCTAAGAATATGATGGAGAAAAAAGCTAAGCACAAAAGAGATAATGTGAAAAATGCACATAACATACGTTCTAGGAAAGTAGAGGAAAATAAACCAAACAAACATGAATTTATGTTCAATAGTGAGTTACGGATAGATATTCGGAGAAAAAATATAGACCATAGACTATACAAGAACCTTGTTGTGAAATTGGTTAGGATGAGAATTCAACATGATGAAAAACATTGTGCTTTGAAGGATTTAAACGCAAATCACAATGTTGATAAAGTTAGAGGTAATGGAAACATGGGCAAGAACGGCTACAGGTCTGATTTGTTTGAGGATCTTACCATTTTGGAGGAAAACACAGCTGCTGTTGAGAACACATCAAAAACAGATATTCTTGATGCAAGTATAATCAGGTGTAACAGTGATAATGAGTGTGACAGTTTTTCAAATACCAGTTTTGCTGAAACAAATGACATTATACGTTCAAAAATTTTAAATGTACAGACAAGTACCCCTTTGAGAATTAGTAATCCTGTAACTCCAATTGTTAAACGTTTACGTAAAAACAATAAGAAGGATTATAGGGAGTCTTCCTTACCCTTAACAGAAAAGTCGGAAGAAATACCGTTAGAAGATCCTTTACAAAGAAAAGTACCTATTTATAAGAAAACTATTCCTGATTTCAATAAACCAAAAGCTGATCTGTATGAATTTGATGATTTAGAATATGAGGTTGCAAGGAGGAGGAAAAAAAGGAATATTTCAGATCAGTTTGATAAAACCATGCACAGCATTTTGGAGAAAATTGAGAAAAAAGAAAAGAAAAACCAAGAGAATATCAAAAGATGTAAAAATAAAAAAGTTACCACAAAAGCGCATCTCTATGAAACGAAAGTCAATGCTGCAGTGGAAAAAGTTATGAAGAAGATGAAATTGAAGAAAAAACCTATATTACAAAATGAAGAGACATTAAGTGGAAATGCAAACAAAGAAAATGAACTTATATTGCCAAAGCAACAAAAATTTGGAAGTAGATGCAGGAATAAAGCTGGTCAGGCAGTACAACAAAATAAAGTCGTATTAAATGAAGTCGCAGACCACAACAAAAATAATGGACAAAATATCCTGCCAAATGG